TGTGGGTCCAGTATTATTCACAAGGGTCCTTCCAAGAGAGAAGTGGGGGTCAGGTTCTGAGGAGAATCAGATGTTGGAGTGATGAGGGGTCAGGAGCCAAGGATGGCAGGGGACCCCCAGACACAAACAAAGGTGACCACATGGATTCTTCTCTAAGCCCAGGAGATCACGCCCTGGTGCCCCCTTTGAGGCTTCTGACCTCCAGAGCTGTGTTGTGATACAGCTGTGTGGTTTCAAGCCTCTGACTGGGGTGACATTACAGCAGCCAGAGGCAGCCCAGGCGCTAACCCAGCGCCTCCTCTCTGGGCAGCAAGGCACAGGAGCTCAGCACTTGTGGGGGTTCTCTGTGTCCCAGGCAGCACCCCGGTCCTGTCTGTACTGACGTACTTAATTCCCACACGCTCCTGTAAGGTTATTGTTAGTACACTGGCCTCCTCTTTTATTTCTTTCTTTCTTGGTCTACAAGTAAGGAACCAAGTGGGTAAATGTCTTCGGTTCACAGATTGCAGCTCAGCCCTGTTGAGCTCTAGAACTCACGTTCTTCACCACTTTGCTTGTCCTCCTCTGCAGCAGTGTGTGTGTCTGTGAGGGAAGGGGAGGGACTTTCTTTGGAACAGAAAGAATCCAGCTCACACTCGCGCTGCAGCCTAAAAGTGGATTGTCTCCACCACTCAGCACCTTAGTTTCTCACCCATAAAACGGGGTGCATGCAGCCGGGGACGGGAATTGGTGACCGCCGCTGCTGTGTCTAAGCCTTTTTTCTCTCCCCCCCCGGTCCCCTTCCCCTGTTGGCAGTTCCCCAAGTGACCAGTCATCGGGGAGCCCCGCAGGCACGGGGCAGTGTGCACAACTGCACACACACGCAGACACCCACTTTCTGGAGGCCCTGGCAGCCTCCATCCTTCAACTGTATTTGGAGTCTGCCTTTGCGGGGTGCTTTGTTAGGCTGGACAGAGGATGACAGATGCCCAACAGAGGCATCCCAGCCCTGGTGACTGCTGAGCACTGTGCCAGGCCCTGAGCGGGGCTTTCTGTGTACACCCTCATTTCACATCCCCTCGCCCCGCCGTGACTCCATGAGGTCACTTTACAGATGAGGAATTTGTGGCTCAAGGACGAAGATACCTTGCCAAGGTCACAGAATTAGCAAGAACCATCATTCCAGCCCAGGTCTCTCTGACCTCACAGCCAAAGAGTTGTGCTGGATTTTGAACCCCAAACATCATAACGTGCCAGTCCTTCCATGTACCGGCATCGCTCCGTAGGGTCCCAAGGCTGTGAGGAAGCTTGCACAGGGCCGGGAGGTGCTGCACTGGGTTTCAGCTGCCTCCTGCGTAAGGAAAAATGAGCAGGAAGGAAGGAGCACAGCAGGTGTGGGGGTGGAGAAAGGACTTGCTCCAGGCCGTGGGCCACTGCTTTGGAGGTCAGTTGGTGTTATGGACCTATGCTAAGCATTTTTCTAACTTCTCATGATCCTAATAAGGCAAGAAAATAAATGAGCGATTTTGTAGCTAAACCAGCTGTCCTGAACAGGGTCCCAGAAGCAGCACACAGATCGGTAAGATGGTCCTGCTTCTCTGCTCCTTCCTGCTTCCTGAGGAGGAGCCATTGCCCTGGGTATGGGGGTCTCTGTGTGAGTCCAATAGGGTGCTGTGCTTGACGGCCCTGGAGCAGGGTGGGGAGCCCGGCACCTGCCCCTGCTCAGCCTGCAGTGATACGCCAGGTCGGGACAGAGGCACCTTGATCTGAAGGCAGGAAGGAGCAGGAAGGAAAAGGTCTGGTCTCTAGAACTTGCCACTTGAATGCAAAATGCAAGCACAAAGGTGGTGATGATTGTGGCTGTTGGTGACTAACCAGACAAGATACTTGCATGGTCAAATTTTGCCAGTTAACCTTCTGAGAAAAGTATGTCAGAGAGGAGTAGGCTGTTGGCCCCACTGTCGCCTACTGGGAGCCCCAGTTTCCACCCATACACCCTGCATTGGCATTGCTGGTTTCTGAGGCTGACTGAAGAGGTTAAAAATAAATCTGGTGTTTTACAATCTGCATGCTTGAACATCCAAAGAGAAGCAGATTTAAAAGGCCTATTTTTAAAAGAGCTTTTTGCTGTAAGCTTCCTGCTTGGTGAACATCTGTGAGTGGTGGCGAGTGTTACCCACCCTGGACTTAGGGTGATCCCGAGGGCAGGATGTGGCTTTCATGTACCCTCCCCATGAGGGACTACATGCCAGTCACTCTTCTCATATATTAACTCACAGTTGGGGCACAGAGAGATGAAACAGCCTGCCCAGTATCTCACAGCATAGCTAGGATTGAAACTTGACCATCTGGTTCTAGTGTATTCTACACCTCTAGACAAATTTGAAGATCTCTGCCCCTTGAAAGCCTTCAGGAAAGTGGAAATTCTTCCAGCCTAGGGGATCTCTTAGCCTGGTTTTGGGTCCCTTCTCCCATAGGCAGGCCATCCTTGGCGCAGTTAGCCTTTTATGGTGGAATATGTGGCCCATTGTCAAAGAAGAAGACACTTGGCAGTGTATCCTGAGAGGGGACGTGAGCAGGGTTTACATCTCCAAGACATCAGAGATGCCTAGCAAATGGGCCAGCTGTTGGAAGTCAGTGGCTTTTCTTCCTCATGTAAGGCCTTGGACACACAAGCTTCTTAGTCCAGAAAGAAAGGATACTCGTGTGCCGAGAACAAAAGGTAAAGGTGCCCAAGCATTGGTCAGAGCAACATGGAGTAGCTGGACAGAGGTCTGGCTTCTACCTCAGTTATACTTGCTGCCAGAGCTGACAGCTTGAGATGATGGCCAGATGGCTGATTGGGCCTTGAATTCTGCACAGGGGCTAAGCATCTGAGATCTCTAAGGTAATCTGGAGTTCATTGTATTGATAAGTATGGTCAGCCGACATAGCGGTTCCTAACTCCATGCCTCACTATTGAATCCCATAGGAAAAGTTTCTTAAAAGTAGCCCTGCAGCCAGGAAGTCAGTGAAGGAGAAAACTGAAAGATAAGCCAGAGTAAGGTTAGCTGCCAACATTGGTCTAAGATTTTGTGCACCCAGCTGGAGAGACGAGAAACCAAATTGGCACCAAGTTCCAAGGCAGACAGCGAAAGAAATAGGGTCATTTGAAAGTTGTTGAAAGAAAAGAAATAGTTCCTGAGATTTGGAGCTGTCCACGGTGCTGAGGCCTTTTCCTGCGGCTTTTTATAAGCTGTGATTAGCCACATCCTTCACAATATCCTTTGGCAGTAAGTACAATGGCAGGTCCTAGGACCATTTCTTAGTGTTCCTAGTGTATCCCTGAGGGGCCATATTTTTCTGTCGAAAACAACCTGTGAGCCCTGTTGTGTATCAGTCCAGCTGTATTCATGTATACCGTGTAAAGTGGCTTAGGTTAGTTGAGCCTCCAGTTTTTTTTATCCTGAGAGTAAAATTTCTTAAATCTTGAAGATTATATCCATATGTGTTTTACCTGAAAAAAATAAATACAAGCATTGATTAGGCCATAGTCTTTTTTTTTTTTAAAGATTTATTTATTTGTGCATACAGAACTGGGGTACAGGCCAGAGGCTCAGGGGTGGCGAGAGGCTTCACCAGAGACAGAGTGGGGAACAGAACAGGCAGATCGACGAAGTACACTGCTGAGGGGAGCAGCGGGCTGGTCAGGAGAGGTCTGCCACGCCATGTGGTCACCTCCTGGCCGGGGATCGAACTCATGCGGAAGTGGCTTTAGCTTCTCAGTGCTGTGCTTTAACCCGCTGTGCCACCAGGGAGGTAGGCCATAGTCTTTTAAAATCAATCGGATTCAGTACTGGAGGGGCCTCATAAAGGCCCTCATTATTCAGGACACAGCTGCTCACCTCTCCTGGCCACAATGACCAGGACAGCCCTGGGGTTCTTAGTCTGCCACCACAGAGTGTTTCTGGGGTCCCTGAGGAGCTTATGCCAAGACTCCCCCCCCGTTTCAGGCTCAGCTTCACAGCCATGGACCACTGCAGTTAGGACCCTTCTAGGAACTTCCTGTCTGAAATCACACATTCAGCAACCGTTCCACATGGATTCCCCAGTGATTTGGGAACCCATACTGGTAGGGATCGCCCCATCCACACCCACCTGGCCAGTGAAGAAAAGCCATGAACTCCAAAGAACTGAAAAGTATTTACCATGTGCCTGCACTGGTTAAGTATCTGAGCCTTCTGAATTTTGATAAAGCCCTGTGAGGAAGGAGTTACTGTTGCTCCCTTTTAGGTCTGAGTGAATGGCATCTCTGAGTGGTAGAATGAATCATCAGACACATGAATAACCTGATGGAGGGCAGAGCTGTGGTCTGAAGCCAGGTCTGTCCAGCTCCGGCCCTCTGGCTCCCCGGCCTCCCCGAGCTCATCTCAGTGTAGCTGCCCACATCAGTCAAAGGGCTCCCGTGTCAGGAGCCCAGGCATCATCTTTGTTGCAGCGGGACTCCATGGTCTCTGCACAAAGCATCGTTCTCTGGGAGGCTTTCAGGATGGCAGGGTGTTCCCATGCCCTCTGCCACCCTCCACGTCCCACACCAACCCCTTTAGAGACCCCCACAGCCTGGTCCTCTCCTGGTGATCTGACCCAGACCGTGCCACCAGGAGGTGACAGTCAGATTGAACTTCACTCCCAGCCAAGAGAAGAGAAAATCCAAGGAGGCCCACCAGCACTCACACCCCTGTGCAACCTCTTGGGTGCACAAGTCCAGGGTGAGAGCAGCAGATGACATCGGGCTTTTTCGAGCAGATGCTGCCTCGTTAGAAGAAATGTGACTTCTGTGACTACTAGTGCAAGGCTGTCCGCCAGACCAGGCACAGGGGCCGATCAGGTCATAACTGGGAGGTTCCACAGACCCTATGGAGGGTCTTCCAGTGACATCCATGTGGGAAATGTGCAGCGTGGAATTGCCAGCAGGTCTCAGCTTCCAGGTCCCACTGTGCCTGGTCTTGTACCCTGGGCCAAAGGTCAACCTCGTGCTCCTCACTGCTTTCCATGAAGCTCAGTTTCTGGTGTGAATTAATCATCAACTCCTGGGATGCCCCAGCATATTGGTATGTTAGCCACTAGCTATTTTACTTGGTGCTCCTGTAGAGAACAGCAGTAAAAAACAATCAGTGACTATTTGTCGCGTACTTATTTGGAGACCCAAATAAGGAGTGAGGAGAAGCGGAGCGGAGACCCCAGCGAGCTGACCACATTCAGCTGCAGTTTCTGTCCGTGTGTGCACTGGCACGTGTCCCTGCCTCGGTCTGCCTAGGTCCTCATGCCTCAGCCACGTGAGCTCATCACAGTCGCTGTCCCAGTCGCCCCAGACCCTTCCAGGTACCTGGGGGAAGCTCCTCACTTACCTGCGCTTCAGTGAGAGCATGATCAGCTCCCCACACCCCCCACCATGGTAGATTCTGCCAGGGCATCGATTTCTGTAAGCTGACAGGTGGTGAGGGGGTCCCCCAGCCCCTCGAGGGCCTCCTTAGAGAGGGATGCTGAAGGAGGTCCTTTGTCTCTGAGCCAGCGATTAGGTTGCAGCTCTTTGTGCTGGCAGCCCAAGGGCAGGAGGCCCACACGACAGCCCAGGCCGCCGGTGTGGAAGCCAGCGCTGTCAGTCCTGTGGCTTCCAAACCAGATGTCTGTCCAGCTGGACGGAGAAGGGACCCCTGTCCAGCTGGGCCCCTGCTCCTCAGCCCTCCCTGATCATCAGTTCTGGCATTTTGTTTTCTGCCTCTGCCCTAGGCTCACAAAAGAATTTTGCAAGGGGGCGGCCAGCAAAGCCCGCAGGCATGCCGGGTTGGTGAGACTTAATCCCACCGGGAAGTTCACCTGTTTCATTGCCTTCATGTCTTTTCCTGGCCGCATGACCTTGTCCACCTTCCTCCCCTGTCCCTGTTGCTCCCCAGAACAAAGAGTTCAAGACGCTGTCGGAACAGCTGTCGGCCGTCACGTCCACGCACACCATGGAAGTGGAGAAGCTGAAGAAGGAGCTGGCCTATTACCAGCAGAACCAGGTCGGGGACAGCAGCCTGAGGCTGCAGGCGGAGGTGGAGAGCCTGCGGATGGAGCTGCAGAGGGCCCACGCGGAGCGCAAGGTCCTGGAGGATGCCCACGCCAGGGAGAAAGATGAGCTGAGAAAGGTATGCGGGGCGCGGGGGCGGGTGAGGGGTCCCGACTGGCCCCTAGAGCGCCTCCTCAGAGGCCACTTCCTCCAGCCCTGAAGCTGCCGTGGGCTTTCCTGGGGCTGTGCCCAGGCGGGCTGGCGTGCATTTAGATGTCAAGTGGCCGTAGTTCAGTGGCCCCAGCTGCCACTAGCTGAACACCTTCCCCTGAGAGGGATACACGTACCTGCCCCTGCATCTTCCTGACAGTGTAGCTAGCCACTGCACAGCTCTGGGACCCGAGTCTGATGAGAGGCAGTGCACAGCCCTTCTTCCTGACATTGCCCTCAGCGGTTAGGGCCAGCCTTCAGCTCTCCGTCCCATAACCAGCCGTTGTGCTCTGGGGAATTTTCCTCCAGTGCTGGTGCCGGTAGCTTTTGCCCGGCTCCCCTATGGGCAGGGTGTGTCATCGGTTTACTCTCCACTGCTAAAAACAGGACTTCTGGGACTTCTGTGTCTCCTCCAGAGTCAGGATACGGGGATTCCCTTCTTCGCTCCTACGAGGGCCGTTCAAACCAGCACGGTCCCACATGCCACTGAGAGCCACAGATCCAGGCCACACTGCTCTGCCCACTCCCTGCAGTGCCCCACGGGCCATAGGGAGAGTCGCCCGTGGCCTGCTTGCTGGTGTCTGTACAGTGCTGCCGTGGGTTGAGAAGCTCAGGAAGGAGGAACTGAGTGACCCTAACTCAGTAGCAGCTCTCAGTGTTTCAAGACTGGGGCCAGCTGAGGGCCGCCTCAGAAAGGGCCCTTGGTGGACACTGAAATTCCCACATTCTCATCCCAGCGTTTCTGTAACCAAGGGCCCACAACAGGCTTCGCTGGCCTTATCCCTTATCCGCTTAGAAATAACATGAGGTCAGTCTAGGTCATCACTAGATCCCATTCAGCTGAAGTCCTCTCTCCACCACCCCACGGCCTTCTCCTGGCTGGGCCTCAGCCAGGCTGGGCACCACCAGCCTGGAAACAATGCAGCTGAAAGCCTCAGACCACGTGTGGGGGGCTCGCAGCGTGGGGGGCCCACAGCGTGGTCTCCCTGACTCAAGCGGGACTTCTGCCCTGTCCATCGCTACTTTCCCAGACCCTGGGGATTTCCCGGGGCTCGGGAGAGGATCCACTTGGATTAGGTAATGAAGGAAGAAAAACATGGGGCCTCCTGGTGCAGGCAGCTGGGACAGAAGAGGCTTCCTCTCAGTGTAACTTGCTGGCTCACCCACCAGCAGGCTCAAGCGGACCTCATGCTTGGGAATAGTGTCTGGAACTGTGGATTGTGGAACTGTGTGGAACTGTGGATTGTGACCTACAAGCCATGGAATCTGTTACTTGTGGTCTGTTGGCCCTTGGAAACAGATGGGCAGTTTCTAGGTGAACAGAAGACCAGAAGGTATACTCCAAAGGCCACAGTTAGAACTGAAAACTCTTGAGATCAGGGACCCTCAGAGGAACAGAAAAGCATGTTTGCTGCATGTGCAAACCAGGAGCCACATGAAACGGGGTCTCTTCTGTCTCCGCCACATGGCGAATGCTTGACTCGTTGGCTCCCTGGCTCCTGCCCTGCTTCCCACTGGGCTTGTGACTGGGGAGTCAGCGCTTTAAAAATACCAAGCCCCTCCCAAGGGGGCCCGAGGGCTGAGTGTGAAGCCCTTCCTCAGCAAAGCAGACAAGCGGCTCTCTCCTCTCCTTAAAAAGAAAAAGTTGTTACTGTTAACTGAGAGAGTGTTGAATGAGGTCTTAGATAAAAAGAGAGCTTGCGACTGGCAGGGGAAAAGATGTCAAGGACGGTCCAGCAGGCCCAGGTGCAAGCAAGTGAGGCCACTTCCCTGACTCCAAACATAAGCAAGTCCCAGGTTAGCGATGCCCCTGAAAAAACCAGGAGGGGAACGCCCAGCGCTTCCCAGCAAGAGAAGATGGAAGCAAAATCGCCTCCTGGGCAGGGTCTTTAGACCCTTAAATCCTGAAGGGAGGTAGCCAGGCTGTTCCCACCTGCGCTGTGCCTTCGTGCCTGGTCAGGGTGTCCGGCTGTCAGAGGCACTGCGTCCGATCTGAACACGCCAAATAGCCGGACAACTGGTTTCCTCCCAGGCCTGTCCCGGCACCTGCTCTGTGAGGAGCAAGGTTGATGGGCCTAGGGACGCAGATGAGGGCGCTGAGTGCTGGTAGAGCTTTAATTCATGGATTTGATATTTCTGTTGGCAAAGGCGGCAAATGTGTTGGAACTGACACCCTGGAAAACTTCGGGCTCCGAGGGCTCCCCACCACTGATGATTGTAGCTGTCAGGCCACATCTCCCTGGGGGTAGGGTCCCACATCTGTGTCCCCAGAGCCTAGGGCACCCCACCCCCACCCCGGCTTTGTCTCCCCAGAGCCTCTGCTCACACCTTGTAGAAAGGCTAGCCTCTGCTCTGTGTGTGTGTGAGTGTTTCATCCCTTTTTCAAGTTACCAGTGATCTTTATGCTGAATGACATAAGTGACTGAGCTGTTTTGTGTCCCTGAGGAGGCTGGTGGCTCCAGGGCCACCCGCCGGCACAGAGGCGATAGCTCAGGTCCAGAGTTGGCCTTGGAATGTGGCCCGTGGGGATCAGCTGTCAGGCTGTTGGGTGTGCTCCTCTGGGCTGTCAGGCTGGAGATGCCCTGAGGGGGCTGGCAGTTTTACAGCAGGGACTGGCAGAGGCAGGACCTGTGGCCCTGAGGGCCATCGCCCTTGCCCTGGGCCACACTTGGGTGGTGACCCAGGCGCCCTGTGTAGTCCACACCACCTCAGGGATGTGAGCCTCAGGAAGCCTAAATGCAGGGTTGGATTCCTCGGCCGCGCCCTGTGGGCCTTTGCAGCATTCAGACTTTCTTCACCTGTGTCACCAGACAGAGATGCGACAGGGCAGGGAAAACGCCTTGGTGCCTCCCTGCAAAGGGAGTCTCCTGGCGAGTGCGCCAAGGTGCCTGGTGCCAATGTAGAAAAGGAACAGGCCCTTTCCCCTCCTCTATCTCCATGGGTCATTTCTAATTCCTAGAACATGGCTGAAGTATTACGTTTTAAATCCATATAATTAGTTGTTCCAATAGTAAATAGCAAAAGTGATGTCTTTAAAATAAACTTGCCTCATCCTGTTTTAATTCTTCAGAGATCTCTGAACAGACCGGCCCTTTTCTTGGTCTTTCCCTTTTTTTTTTTTTTTTTGGCCTCCTTTTCTGCCGCTTCCTCTCCAGTGATCTTGACATTGGTATTGACCTGGCAGCACTGTCAGAGGTGGGGCCCTTGATTGGACAGTGCACGGCAGAAAGTCCCCTTCCGCCCCCCAACACCCAGGCTGGGCAGGTGGGGTGAGGACCCGACGCTGTTTTCCCCGTGAGCTCCAGACCTTCCTGAGATTCAGATTGAAGAACTCAGAATTTACCAGACCCACAAATGCAGGCAAACAAGAGCCCGTGGCCCGGGGTCTGCAGACTGCGGGGCCGCTGTGGGCCCATAGACAGGCTTTCCTGACCTCAGCTGCCCTCAGCGGTCAGCACGTCTGCGTTGTTTTCTGGGGATTTTTCTTTCGGTATGCAATGTCTCCCTCAAATGGAAAGCCAGTTCGATCTCCAGTGAAGAGTGTCTCTAGACACAGGACTTGAAATTCAAGCCCAGAGCGGGAGCCTCTCTGCTGCCCACTCTCAGGGGACATGTCCCACCCTGTTGCTCTCTTTCAGCGAGTTGCAGACCTGGAGCAAGAAAATGCTCTCTTGAAAGATGAGAAAGAACAGCTGAACAGCCAGCTCCTCCGCCAGTCCCATGGTAAGTTCCATGGCCCTGGGGCTTTGATGTCGGGTTCCGATTTCTTTGCCATGTAAGCTGTCCCAGCGGCCTCGTGAGCCTGTGCACACCCGAGCCGGCCTCTCAGCCAGGGCAGCCCTCTGTGTCCCCACATTGGGCACCAAATCTGTTACAGGGCAGAGAGAGGGGGCACCCCTGAACCCCCAAACCTGCCTGCTCTAAGTGGGTTCTGCCATCTGCCATCTGACTTAGAATATAATTTCTAAGTCAAACACCTGGAATGACTCATCCCCTCATGGGCAAACGTCTACCCAAAAGGAACTGACCCAAAGCAAGGCCTCAAAGCTGCCACAAGGCTGAAGTACCTTCTGACTGGGACCCATGGGAAAGGGTCAGACGGAGACATTTTGCAGGGGTGGAGCGGGGAATGGGATCAAAAACAATGGAGGGAGGGAAATGCACTGGACTATGGTGATGGGACATGGGTAATTTGGTGATGGGAAGCCCAAGGGGATTGCAACTGAGATGGAAAAATGCACAAAAATATGTAAAAATAATTATTAATAAAAAAAAGGGGGGGGTCAGAAATGGCCAGACAAGTCTGGGAGGAAAAGGGCACAATCAAACTCCGTATAAACGCTGCCAGAGTCACCTCCCTGCAGGTCTCTCACCCACATCTGCCTGGACCAGTCCAGGGCTAGGAAACAAGCCCGGTTTCCCCATCACAGGCTCCCGGCTCCCTGTGGCTTCCTCAGGTCTCCTTCTGGCTCTCCATCCTGCCTCCTTCTTCAGATTCCTTCTCTTTTCTGCTGAGCTCCACCCTCCTTCTGTGTGGGGCAGGGAACCTGAGCTTCCCGTTTTCCTAGGGACCCCTGTTACCTCTCCACCCGCACGGTGGACAGTCCAGTCTGGGGGCTCCTGTGAGGCGTCAGACCCTGGCATGACAGGCTGGGCCGGCCCACGGTGTGCACTGAGGAGCGGTCAGTGATACTGCCTCCACTGTATCATCAGCATCCACATGCATGCCGGGATGTTTCCTACGCGTGGGTCGTCTGTTCATGTTGGCAGAAGAGGGGTTCATGTTCTGGTCTAAGGCCACCTCCTTCAAGCGCCCACCAGCCCCTCAGCTGCTGTCACCCCCCCCATGTTGTACTTGACTTAGGAAGAACAGTGGGGGCCCGACCCCATTCTCACCTGGCTCGCTGTGGCGTCAGCAAACCCCCTCGCCTTCCCACATCCGCACCTTCCTCTTCTATCGTGAGAGAATGAACCTCCCGAGTCCACAGAGGCACCCAGTGTGAACTCTTGCTGGAAATTAGACTGTGTATAGTCACTTTTTCTTTGCATTGCTATGGGTAATGAGCTTATTTTTAGGAGGGGTGGAATCCATTCATGTTATGTATATGTCTTCCCTCTTTCTCCCAATCTAAACCTTTGGCCTTATCTCCTAAAATTTCCTTTACTCTCCTTGAACAATCAAAACCTGCAAGACTGGGAAGAGGGAAGGAACTGGACCCAGCCCTGGGCTCTTCCAGGAACTCTGTGAGCAGTTCCTGGGGCAGGTGGCAGAGGGGCTGGCACGTTGCTCCAGGGAGGGCGTCGTCACGCTTGCCGTCTGCCTACCCCTCCCCCAGCGTCTGCAAGAGCATGGGGGCTTCCCCGAACCCTCCAAGTACCTAGGCCACCATGACAGCTTCCTCTTGCCCCATGGTAGGTGAGGCAGCTGAGCAAGAGCCCAGCTTGCCGGCAGCCGTGACCAGGAGTCATCGGCAGGCTGGAGTCGAAGCCTGCAGGGAGAATAGGGAGAGTGCAGCCTGCTTGCTTGCGTTCTAGGTGAGTCTGCCCAGAGCGCTGTCAAGGAGAATCTCCTGATGAAGAAAGAGCTGGAGGAGGAGCGTTCCCGGTACCAGAACCTAGTGAAGGAGTATTCACGGCTGGAGCAGAGATACGACAACCTTCGGGATGAGCTAACCATCATGAAGGCAAGGAGGGGGGCTTCTGTCCCCCCCCCCCGCACCACACCTCCCCTTGGCTGGCTTCCCACTGTCCATCCTGTGCAGCACCTGCGCCCCCTCTCTCACTCAGCACCCCCACCCCGCTGTCCAAGGTGCTTTGCAGCCAGCCGTGTGGATAGTTGCCCCATGAGGAAGTATCGGGGCCTGGTGATTCATTCTCATGAAAAGCTCATTCCCTGCTTTGGGGTCTTAGAAAGATCTATTAGGAGTTTGAGGAAAATTCCACCCGAGTGCATACGCCATCCTCCTTGCTTCCTGTTCTGGGAAAATCCCTGTGTCGCGACAATATTGATATGGAGGGCTTCTGCGCTCAGCCTCGTTAGCACAAGCTGCCAAGAAGCCCCCAAGGGTCTGATGGCCTCTCCTGATCATCGACGAAATGCAGTATTCTTAGAAGAAGTTTTATGCTTTGGGATTTGTCTTTATGTTCTTTACTCCATATAAACTGTCCCTCCAGAAGTGAATATGCAAGCCATATTAAGTTAATTGCATAGAAAACGGAAGAGAAGCTAACTAGGAACATACATAAAAACCTAAAATCTTCCTACCGAGATCAGTTTCACACCAAATCTGATCCGCTGCGAGGAGGGAACAGTCTCCAGTGTTGGTCATGTGCTTGCTGTTTCCTAAGCAGAATCTGCCGGCGTGCGGGTCGGATAGAGGCCCCGAGGGGCAGCTTCTCAGCACGCTTTTCTGCAGCGAGTCAAGGACTAGACGCCTTTGTGTGATTTCAGGAGAGACCAGGGACTCCAGTTGTTTCCCCAGGACTTTGCTCAAGACATTGGCCTAACTGTTAGGAATTTGCGCCTCACTGAGACGGGGGGCGGCGAGCCTTGCTGCGGTTTCGTGGGCTCATTGGGTGTGGGCTGTTAGACCCATGCGTGAACTTTTCTGGGACTGGTTCTACTGAGCCTCCGTGGGAAACAGCAATACCTATTCTTATAGACAAATGAGGCAGAAAACCAACTCTGGGTGGGGCCTGCTACTCTTTGAAAAGTAATAATTTTTTACAGGTGTATTTATTTATGCACACAAGTACTGGGGTACAGACCAGAGGTATAGGGGCAAGAGGACTCACCAGAGTCAGAGTGGGGAGCAGAACAGGCCGACTGAGGAAGTACACTGCTGAGGGGAGCAGCAGGCAGGTCAGGAGAGGTCTGCAGCGCCATGTGGGTCACCTCCAGGGCCAGGGATCCAACTCGCCCTGCAGTGACTGTGGCTAGCTTCATACTGCTGTGCTTCAACCCTTGCATCACCAGGCAGGACCCAGTAAGAATTCTTATTAACATGAATTTTTACGAGTTTTCGCATTCTTCTCCCTGAACAGCAAGCCCCAGGCCATAGGCGGAACCCCTCAAACCAAAGCAGCTTAGAGTCTGACTCCAATTATCCCTCCGTCTCCACGTCTGAGGTCGGAGACACAGAGGATGCCCTCCAGCAGGTGGAGGTGAGTGGGGCGGCTCCTGGCTGCTGTCTGCGCTGAGGGGCAAGGGGGGGGTGACTGTGGTGTGCCCCAGGGGTGGCGGCAAAAGTGCCCAGGGCATGTTCTTGACAGCTGCGCCCTGGACACTCCGGTGGACGCCAGAAACAATCTCGAGTGTCGCACATTTTCTGTGCAAAGCAGTACACAATTGTTCACCCACGCACTGTCCAGAAAGGAAGGAGGAACTTAGATTCCTCCTGGCAAATGGAGGCTCTGCCGGAGGGGAAACGGCTAACTTACGAAGGCACAGCCAAGTCACTAAATGGTCATATTTAAAATGTCCCTTCCTCATTTGGTGTCCTACTGCATCTGGTAACAGCCGTAAATCCACAAGAGAAGTTCCATCTTGACTTAGCTAGATAAGAATCAAAGAACAGCAGCAAAAAATTTGGACTGTTTGGACCAATGAATATTTGCTGACAGTATCTGTATCAGTAGTGGCCTCTGACGTCAGTAAAGAATGCACCACACCGTGAACGTCATCCGGTTGTGGTTTTGCAGAGGGACACAGGCACACAGTTTTCCTCTGGCGTTTGGAAAGAAAATCACAAGCACATAACAGCTTGAGCATGTGAGCAGAGACATGGAGGAGAGATGGCAAGGGAGAAATGTGCTTTGAGCACATGTGGGTGCCAGCGCTGGTGGGCACTTAAACAGCCGTGGCAGCGCCCTCATGCAGCTGTGATGGTGGAGCGGGAAGAAGTCTGTGATGTGCCTGTATTACAGGAGGGAGCGGTGCGGGGAGGGAAGTGCCATGGAGGAAAAGAGAGGCTGCCAGCCAGTGGAGAGAGAGCTGACAGGTAGACAAGGAGGCCTCGGGACGGAGCCGGGCTCTGGCTCGGCTTGCGTGCACTTTGCTCCTGCACTGTGCACGTGGTAGTAAGCATTTGGTCACGTGAGCCTAGGGGCCTCAGTTTTACTATCGTGGTCTCCTAAGTCTGGGTCCAAGGCTCTGTCAGCCGTAAATCTAGATGGCTCCCAGGTCGGATAGGTGCCTGTTTCGTGCAGGCAGAAGCACTTCCCTCGCTCCATTTATGTTTTCAAGGAAGCCAGTGGCTGGGTCCTGGTGTTGCCAGAATAGCTAGCAGAGTGCTGGCTAATGCGGAGCTGTCACTGAGTGCTGCTCGAACCAATTACGTCCCTCAGATGTTCTGGCAGGCGCTTTAAGAATCCACGTGGAGAATGTTCACGCCGGCTCACATTTGTTCATATCCACTCACATGTCACACACGTGGCCTGGAGGGCCAGCCAAGGCAGAATTTAAGGGAGGGGGTTGCCTGGGAACCGATGCTGTAAGAGCTGCTGGGAGATCAGCCTGGGCAGGGCAGGGGCTGGCTCTGCTTCAGGAGCACATTTCCAGTGAGCAGTTACCAAGGTGATTCTCTGTCAGGAAGTGTTATGTCCTGTGTTTTACAATTTCTCTGGTATGAGACCATTTTCCAGAAGTGGAGTCTTTCACCTTCCAGATAAAATGGCTGTGCCTTTATCCATTTGTTCCTGGAATATATGATCGGTCACCTGAAGTGACCCACATGGGGGAAATACAAATGGGTGAGACACGGATGTGATCTAGGAGGAAAATGAGGCCAGAGCACTCACTAGAATGTGAGGAATGATGGTTGGCTGGCCCTGGCTCTGTTCCAGGGGCGTGGATGCCATTTCGAAGGAGAGGAGGCAGGTGGCTGATTGAACTGAGTCATTCCCGACAGCATTGATGATTTGGAAATCTCTGTGTAGGAAATCAGCCTGGAGAAGGCGGCCATGGACATGACGGTCTTCCTGAAGCTGCAGAAAAGAGTGCGGGAGCTTGAACAGGAGCGGAAGAAGCTGCAGGTGCAGCTGGAGAAGAGAGAGCAGCAGGACAGCAAGAAAGGCCAGGTGCGTGGAGGGTCAGCAGGCACGAGCAGCACCCTCCAAGTGCTGGGGTCAGAAAATGGTCTGGCTCCCTTCCTCCAGAGCTCCCGTGCAGGGCAGGACCCCAGGGATTCTGCAGGGCTCCACAGGAGAAACACATGCTCGTTTGGAGTTCGTGTCGTACTGACTCTTCTCTGGATGTCCAGATGGTGTCAGCTGTCCAGTGCCCCCAGAGAAAAGGGTTCCCCCTGGCTAAAGGGGGTGCCTACTGCATCGTCACCACTTGCAGAGAGAAGCAGGGTGTGTGTGCTTCTCAAGTGTAGGTGATGCAGCAGAAGCCAGAGTAGAGAAAATGGGTTGCCTGTTGAGACCCAGAAACTGCCAGGGGCTTGTGTTTAACCCCGTAAGGTCAAGGGAGACCAAGTTGCCACTGTTCACCCTTCTTTCCCAAGACCGTGCCCGGCCTCAGTCCAGATCATCATCAGCATCTTGAGTCTTTAAGGCAGATTGTGTCCCCAGACATGACACCGTATCTCTGGGCCTGCTGGGCACCTGTGCTGCCCTCAGCCCTTGCTGGCACCAGGCTCCCAGGGTGTGTGCAGAGTGCTTATGCAGAGGTGTTCAAAGAGGAGATGAAAATGCAAGAGGAATCCCCAGCCACCAAGGAATGTATGTTCTAGTTCAGGAGGACACAGAACACAAATGAAAAGGAAGGAAGATGGACAGGCTGGGTACAAGCAGCTTGGTGCTGAGCACTGAAGAGCAGTAGGAGGGAAGATTCTCTTGCTTCTTCCCGGGGAGAACAAGGGCTGCTTCCGGTGGGAGACAGGCTGACTCCGACATGGGCCCGATCACAAGCAGCTGCATCACGGTCGAAGCCCTCTGGTCTGTTCTCGGGCCTGAATGGCCTGTGGTGGGCCTTGATGGGAGTGAGGGGAGCCCTCCTGCTCCCCATTCCTAGCCCTGCCTCCTTCGCTACACTGCACTGACTTCCCTTTCCAATCGAATGCGAGACAGACCTGACCTGTACTGCTGGTAAATTGCTGGATTTCTTCCTGAGCAAAAGGGGGGAGGTAAATCTTGCTGGTGGATTTAACTCTCCGGGGATTAGATTCAGAATGGTGTGGAAGGGGCAGGTTTATGAGTGACCCTTTCAGTTAGAAGGGGAGCCGCCCTGACAGGGGAACACAAATCAAGTCGAGGAAAAGCTGTGTGGTGGACATGGGGCCGTGCCACCCCCGGCCCCGCCGAGACCCTGACTCCCCGGGCCCCCACCCAGACATGTCAGAGCCCCCTTGAGTGCTGGCATGAGGAGTTCTGTTTGTCTGATACCAGATATGAAAAGCAGAAATCACAGAGCCAGACTTGGCCCAGCCCCCACTGAAGTGTCTGTGGATTCTCTGTTCAGGGACAGTGACCCTTTTCTGATGGAGTTTAGTGAGGGGCAGGGGGGAACATGGATTCTCTCAACAGCATCCTGAACCCCAGCTTTCAGAGATTGGATCTGCCCTTGGTCCTGAGCCACCTGGGCCTTTGTTCTGGAGAGAGATGCCTGGGGTCTGCACCCTCGTGTGGGGTGAGGGGTCCACCTGAGGGCAGGGCCTTGGCGATGGCCAGCCAGACTGCTCGTGTATTTGCCTTCTGTCTGCCTGCTCCCTTACCCAAGGCCCCGCCCGGCCACCAAGGCTGACTGCGCGGACGCCAAGCTTGCCGCCGCATCTTAGTACTCACCCCTCTTTGGACTTGAGTAGATGATCTCCATTTCTCAACAGCTAAAGCATTCAGTTATCTATGTTTGAGCAGCAAACCCACGCTACGTGGGTGCAAGCCCTGGGCTTTCCCGGTGACAGCAGATTAAGACCTGGCCTGCACAGTTACAGCCCCTGCCGCAGTGGGAGCAGAGCAGAGACTGGCACCTGGAGAGCTCTTTGTTCCCCGGGTTGCAGGGCTGCAAATGATGCAGCACCACAGTGGCCCTTACTCGGGAAGGGGCCCTCGAAGCCGGGAAAGATGCACCGAAGCCCGCTGGCACTGCAGACGGCGTGATGTGTACTGCCGGCGTCTTGCTCAGAGGGAGCAAGATCACCTGTGGCCCGAGATCACCTTTTGTTGACCGTTGACAGGGCCGTTTCTGTCCCTTCTCGGGATAATTCAAGGCCAGTCGCTGCCACAATTAGAGTAAGCAGTGCCCTGCAGCCTGCCTTCATTCAGGCTCTGACTTCAGGGCGAGCAGGCCGGCCAGGCCCACCTCCCCCCTCACCTCGCTCCCCGTGGGGCTGCAGGGCCTGCTGTGCTGGGTGCAGCCATCCCGTCCAGTGACGCTGCGGTTGTGCTGTCACACGGCTTTTTGCTCCATGATGGGGAGCAGCTGTCCTGCTGCCTGCTGTCCAGTGACGCGGAGGAAGCAGCTTCTCCGCCATGCGCTTAGTGACCTGGTTGGGAAGACAGGCACACACGCACCCAAGTGAACTGGAGCGGGTCGTTAGCCGCTTAATGATTGCGCCATCGTTACGTAGCAGCCAGCCTCCTTCATGAGCACATAATTATTATAATTAACTTCATTAATCCATCCTGAAGTCTCACAGTACTTCCGAGGGCTGCAGAAACGAAGGGCCATTGCTAGATGGCCTCGGACAACAGAAGTTTATTCTCTCTAGAGACCAGAAGCCAAGAATTAAGGTGTTGATGGGGCCAAGGGCTCCTCAGTGCTCCGGGGAGGGCGTGTTTTTCTGATGCTGGCGACCCTGGGCGGTCCTGACTGCAGGGTCGGCCACCCCTGCCCTGTCTGCACGTGGCCTGCGTCCGTGTGTGCCCCGCCTTGTCTGCCTCAGAGGGTCTGTGTCTTCTTGATAGCCCCCCCTTGATCACCTTTTCACAAAACTCTGTCTGCAAAGACCCTATTTGCAAATCAGGACATTCGCAAGTCCTGGGGGTTAGGACCACAGTGTTTCCTTGGGCAAATTTAACCCCAACACCATGTTCTACATATTCCAACTTGCACATATGTGCAAGTGTCTGAGGGACCCTAGGAGTGAAGTTAGGCAGGGGGTGAGGGTAGCCACCCAGGAGGGCGTTTGTCCTGGAGAACTTGATGGGGCCCGGAACTGTGCCGTGAAGGTGGGAAAGAGATGGGCTGGTGGAGGGAGGATACAGCAGGGTTTGATTGTGGCAGGAGAGCCCTCGGCGGAGTGTCTGCCTCACTTCCCTCTCTGTGCGCAGGAGGAGCAGCTGAAGAATGAGGCAGGCCTGGACCAGGACGAGGCTCTCGCCTACAACAGCCTGAAGGTAAGACTCCTGGGGACAGGCTGCCTGTGTTCTCACCCTTCGGGGCACAGACGACGGACGAAGCTGGGCGTCCAGAAAGCGGCCCTCAGCTGTGGGCTACTAGTTAGTAGTAGTTTCAGTTTCTTCATCTTTGAAATGAAGGAAATGTGTTTACCTGAAGGAAATGTGTTTACCAGGAGGAACTGTAAGATGCCAAAAGAAACGCTTCCCTCTAGTCACAATACTTCCGGCACAAAATATTCAGGTTTTCCACGTAAGCAACCCCCTGCTCTCTGAGAATACCAGCTGGATTCCTGCCAGTTAGTTCAGTTTGGGCACAAACTATCCAGATTTCACGCTGACCCCACTGGTTAGGGGCTCAGTCTCACAAGATGGCCCCCACTTCAGACGCCAGTCACAGAGTCTCAGGTACCCACACATCCGTCTACCTGGGGGACAAATCAGGTGTTTCCAGGGCTGATGGTTGACATGTTCCAAGAATTACCTGCTCATCCCTGACTCAGGTATGACTGAAGGGGGCTTCTTATGGATAACAAAAGATACTCCTCTCTGGAATCTTTTAGACACTCTGAGCCAGAGACAAAAATCTGTGCTGTCAGGTGTGTTACCTGTCTGATGCGAGTTTCAGCTCAGGTAAAATGTGGCCAGTGGAATAAAACCACTTTGGAAAATAATTGGCCTGGAGTGACCCCGTGCTGGCCTGGCAGGAGGTGGTGAGGGGGCAGATGGGGCCATGAGGGCCCCAGGGCTGGTTTTCCAGCAGTGGGAAGAAGTGCCCAGTGAGGGACAGAGCACCGCTGCCCTGCTCCCGCTCTCAGAGTCTCACTGCTGGGGTCAGTTACTCTGGTCCCACTTACGGGAACTCTGGAGGCTGTTGCCTCACGCACGAGAATGCCCTCAATCATTCCTCTGGCCTTGAACAACGAGGGTTGCGCTGGTGATAGAGGCGGTGTTGGGGGTTTCTTCCTTAATGATTGATTGATTAGCCTTATCTTCCTCTGTGACGTTCAGAAGCTGTGAAAACCTCCAAAGGGGGGGGGGGCGTCTCTGGTCGTGTGGGGGCCTGTGCCTTCCTCATGCCCATCGCAGCCGCCTTTCCTGGGAGGCTGAGCCCGGGGCGAGGGACAGGAGCTGTAAGCTTGTGGGTTGCTTGGGCGTCAGCCCAACCCCTGTCCTGGACCTGGCAGACAGTCCAGGCCAGTGGTCCCCGAGCCTGGTTGGGGGCCAGCAGCATCCCTGGAAACATGCGTGAAATGCACATTCCTAGTCCTCATCCCAGACCTGCAGTTGCAGAATCCTGGGGTGGAGCCCAGCTCGGCTTCCTCAGCCTCCTTCCCAGGGATTCCACTGCCCGCTGGTTTCCAAGAACCACGGTCGCCGGGTGTCAGCAAGCCTGGCTCTGGGACTCCCTTCTTAAACTTGGTTCAAAGCTCCTCCCCTCCACTCTGCCTCCCGTAGTGAGTTCCTGCCCAGCGGGCCCAGCCCGGGACCAGGGCAGTGAGGGCTCAGTCTTCTCCAGGCTCGCACAGCTCGGGCACCTGCCTTTGAGCTGTGCTGTCATCCAGGTTTGTGAGGATGCTGGCCCTGGATTTCCTCGTGAAACCTGACCTGACCTCAGTGTGGGTGGAATTACCCATCTTCGAGCTTGACTGAGTCAGCTGTGGCTTTAGCCACCATCAGGTCTCACCCTTCGACCCACACCTGAGAGCTGAGGTCCCAGCACAGTTACTCCCCCGGCCAGGATAAGGACTTGTGCTCCTGTCTGTACCCACAGTGCTCTTGTGCCAGAAGGTGCTGGCTCTCTCGGGGGGTGGCTCCCTTCTCACAGCAGGAGAACCAGTGGGCACCGAGTGGACCCCCAACTCCTGACCTTGTCTAGGCTTCTGCGCTCCTCAGATGTCCTCAAGTAGAGACTGCCTCATGCTGGGGCCACCCTTCTCTCCACACACTCACCATCTCTGCTAGTGGTTCTGATTCTCCCAGAAATGGCCCACGGGTGGGGATGGGTGGCCTGGCGTTTCCACAAGGAAGGGTTTCATAGCACAAGCACTTGGAAACATGAACGCCACTGACTCACAGCAGCCACGGGGGTTGGGAGTTCAAATCCAGACCCTGGCTTTGATGGCTGGTGAGTCCAGTCAGAACTTTGGCTGTGTATGTCATTATTAAAAAGGGAAAGTGGCACCTCGCTGCCCAGGAAGACAGAGCAGAGGGCCCGAGACCCAGCGAGTAATGGGATGTGTTGATCGGACTGTCTTCCAGAGGCAAGAGCTGGAGTCAGAGAACAAGAAGCTCAAGAATGACCTGAACGAGCTGAGGAAAGCCGTGGCCGACCAAGCCACGCAGAACAACTCTACCCACAGCTCCTCAGACAGCTACAGCCTGCTGCTGAACCAACTCAAGCTGGCCAGTGAGGAGCTTGAGGTTCGCAAAGAGGAGGTGCTCATCCTGAGGACCCAGATTGTCAGCGCTGACCAGCGTCGACTGGCCGGCAAGAGCACGGTAACAAGATGGCCGCCGCGGTTGGGCTGGTTCTGGGGCGGCGCTTGATAGTGAGAGCTGGCGTGTTTCTTAGACGTCTTTAGCCACGTTTAAGGGCTTAAACCTCTGAGAGGAGAGTCTTTTGCCCTTCTCTCTCCTCGAAAGGCAAAGCAGGGTGCTCACTGCCTTTTCAACATCACCTTTGATGGAACACTTTACTGAAATTTCTAGAATCTTCTGCAGCTTCTCAGTACGGACACATTCAAAAGGAATAAGGTGCAGTGTTAGAGACAAGGGCCTCAGCCTAGACAGCCCTTTGATTCCATTTGTCACCTCATGCCTTACCTTTTACCTTGTTTCTGAGGTGGAGCTTCTGCCCTCCAGCTTAGCTTTTGTTCCTGATGTTTTCACTATCTGAGAGAGATTACAGAGCAGGGCTACCTGCGTCACAGTGAGCTCCAAGAGCTCTTGGGTCCTGAGTGTGGATGGTTCAGCGCTGACGGTAGACTTTAGTCACATCCCCTGGAACTGGGGTGCCTTCCACCTGCCCTCCACCATTCCACTCGGTGCCTGCCACAGCCAGTACTTGTCATTAATGTCTATTCCACTGTGACTTTTTTTTTAGATTTAAATCAAAATTTATATATATTACACTTTATAGTTTATTTTTACATCATTTTGTGCCTTTTTCCAACTCAGTTGTAATTCCCAACACCAAATCACGCGTGTGCCATCACCATAGTCCACTGTGACATTTTTAAAGTCACACCTGCCTGGGGATAATTTCTGCTGCTTGAGGTCTTCCTGGTCCTTAGTCTTTATGCCTCTCTATATATGTAAGGCCATTTTCTGGCAATTGTTCGTATAACCAGAGTTGTTTTTTGTTTGTTTTTGTGTAATCTTAGGAGCCAAGCATTAATGCCAGAACAAGTTGGCCAAACAGTGAAAAGCATGTAGATCAGGAAGATGCTATTGAGGCCTACCACGGGGTCTGCCAGACAAATAGGTAAGTCCCACCTGGCCATGGCTGTACCTGGGCAGGCACTGGCGAAGGGGCCCTGAGCTGTGAAGGCCTCGTGCTCACTGTCGCCCTGCACAAGGGCCTTCTCTGTTCTGGTGGCAAGCGCAGGAACAGATTCAATTAGTCCCACACCCTCAGGAATCCCTCTTTTGGCTCCAGCAAACTCTGAGAGAACATCCCCGGGGCATCGAGAACCCAGATCCTCTGACAAACTCTGGGAGGAAGCTGCCCTGGAGGGCTGATCAGAGACAGGATAGAGAGAGCCGGCTGAGTGACCTGTGGTGAGAGGGTGGCCAGCATGGAGGGCCCAGCTACTCCTGCTGCCTGCCAGCACACACTGTCCTCACTCAAGCCAGGGCCCGTCCCCTGCTCTCAGAGGAATGGGATCCAGCATAGGCTCTGTAGAGGCCAAGGGAGATTTCCCTGCAGTTTAATTTGTTGGAACTTGGACTAAGGTCCAACCACCCAGGACTAAGGCATCGGGAACCCTTCTTGCGGTCCCTGTCCACGCAGCAGTTCCCAGAGAGAAAGTGGCTGACAGGGAGCCAGGCCCCAGGATGTAGGTAAGAGTAGCAGTCCAAGATGGGAGAGCCGAGAGGTAGAGAATGTGGACTCTGTCGGTAACCTTCGCAGCCACTCGGTGCCTCCGTTTCCTTATCTGTGTGTTGGGGACAAGTTGTAGCCGCCTCTTGGGTGACAGACACTGCAGTGAGTCAGTCTGCAGGTGACAGAAACACTGTGTGAGTCTGAGTCAGTCTGCGTAAAACAGGTGTGTCAGGGTGTAACGTTTATCTCGCCCTCTTGCCTCTGGGCAGAAACGGTGTGACTGGTGGTTTCCTGGTTTCCTTTCTGGGACCTCAGCTAATGGAATGTTGACCTCCAAACATTTTTCTAAACAGCTAGCACTTCCAGAAAGCATCAGTGAGTGGCACTAGAGTGCGACAAGAGTTGAACAGAATGACCTGAAGGCTCAGTGCAGTGGTTTCCGGACTAATCCATCCCTTCCTGAGGGAGCTGTGAGGCACCCAGCTGGCCTGTAAGTGGCCAGGTCTGGAGGCCTGACTGCCCACTGGGCTGTGTCTAGTCCTCTGGCTGGGAGATCAGAAAGTAAAGGGTGTTGAGTAGCTGCCAGGAGAAAACTAGCCTTGGTTGAAGAGACAGGATTTTTTTTTCCCCAAAAAGAGGGAGAGAAGTTGAATCTCTCAGCTAACAATGGAATCAAGATGAAGTCATTTTAAATACATTGAGTGAAGATAAGGAGTAAAACAGTAAGAGGCAAAGAGCACTGGTGATCTTTAAATTTAAAAAGCAAACTCCCGGCAGCAAGCAGGTGAGCGCTCTGCTCAGGCAGGCCGGTGAGCAAACCTGATTTCAGAACCTTGGCTGTTGCCAGCTCTCTCTGCTCATCCAGACGGCTGGCAGGCTTTCCCAGGGGCGAGTTCCCTGGCCTGGCCTTCCTTTACAGGCGGAGTAACGATGGTGATAAAATAAAAATAGCTTCTCTTATACCTTAAAATAATTCCATTCCCAGCAAGTCCGGGGTACAATAGGGAACTAACAGCCTGTGAAACCCAGTGAAGTCCAGGAAGGCGCTGCAGCCTGGGTGGGCAAGCTGGAAGAACAGGTTCCCCAGCGCCTGCCACAGCCTAGGGTGCCCTCTCCCCATATGGCAAGTCCCCCACCACGGAGGGGACAGCTGGGCGGGGCGTTCGGCCTGAAGCCTAGCCAGCCAGGGCCTCTCCCTACAAAGGGGTGCTTTGGGAGCTGGTCTGCTCTTCCGCTTGCCTTCAGTCGAGGTGCTCTTCCTAAGGTGTATGTGAGAGTTTGTGCAGGCGCTCGGGAAATGTCCTTTCTCGAGAAATTGGCACAGCATTTTGCTGGGATTTCTGGAGGGCAAAGAGACCACCCCTCACATCCACCCCAGCCCCCGCCAGGCCCGTGGCCGCCAGGTTCAGCGCTCCAGGGCGAGGCTTCGGTGAGTGGCTGGAGCTTTCCTTAGTCCCAGAACCCTCCTGGCAGCCCCTGTCCCTGCAGCAGGTCCCAGAAACAGGAGCAGTTTTTTTGCCAGCTGGGCAGGGCCAGTGAGCCTGGGACTGTTACTCACATGCCAGCTTCTGGGCCGGTGGGGGTCCCTTGGGGTGCACTTGGGAAACCCTCAGCTGCGGCAGGACACCCCATTTGATGTGGCAGAGGTGGGAGCAGAGGTACCCCCTGCAGGGCCCGGAACTGTCCCTGCCTAGAAAGGCTCAGCCCTCAGGGCCTTGAGCGCAATTCGCCTGCAAGCAGGTCACTCCGTGGGGCCAGGTCTGTGGCTCCAAGTGAGCCTCATTTATATGTTGGGGTAGCTGAGGCTCCAGGTAAGGTCCCGGGCAGGTGAGTAGTTGAGGTAAAGCAGCAAGAACACCCACAGAGCACAAAGCGAGCTTCTGAAAGATGGGAACGTGCTGGTCTCGCAGCTGGGAGGACAAAACTGTGGGTGCTGGAGCTGGCAGGACCCTGTGTCTGTTTCTGTTCTGGGGGAGGAGGGCGCACAGCCTGTTCCTAAGCCACAGCAGGGGATTGTTGAGCCTTAATTCCCCCATCTCCTCAGAGAAGTCAGCGCAAATATCCCGATTTTCAAAGTTTTATATCACATCGTCTACTTTTACACAGACCTACACCTGCTCTCAGTCCCCAAAAGAAATCCAGAGCGTCTGCTTTTTTTATTATTAGTTTTACATTTTGTGTGTGTGTGTGTGTGTGTGTGCATTTTTCCATCTCAGTTGCAGTCCCCTTGGGAGAAACCCAGAGCGTGTCTGCTCTTACAGCAAAGGGCGAAGACCAAGGCCAGCGTCAGGGCGGCTTGGCAGCGGCTCTCACGGGGCGCTCACCCCAGCAGCGAGGTGGCCCCGGCCCTGGCCCGGGGACTCCTTGGTGTTCTCTGTGCATTGATTTCTCCTTCCCGCCATTACTATGTGCAGTGTTAGTTTAGGTTTTATGTGTTATTTGGGGTGATTGGGCAGGTTATTTGGGGGACCCACAACGCTCAAAAGTTTCCCCGTACATTCATGCTGACTGCTCCTTCACCTTAGGCCACTTCTGCTAGCGAAGGTTTCAGAGGCAGGCTGTGTGTGGGGTGGTGGGGGGAGCCAGGCCTTTTCTGGTGCGCTGCCTTTACAGTTAAAAGGTGCTGTAATTAGAGATCTAGGGGAAACCATTCAGATGGGTCAGCTTGCCCTTTCACGCAGAGCCTGAAGCAACAGGCCCAGGGCGCAGGAGGGGTCTGGCGGGCTCCTCCTGGACGCGGTGCTCCAGCGCGCCCTCTGCCGGGCGCTGCTGCCCCTGCAGGCACAGGCCGCCTGCTGCTCACCTGTGTGCGCCTGTGGCCTCTTCAGGAGTAGGCACAGACGCGCGCGCCCAGGAGCTTCTCCGTGGGTATTTGTTGGTTTGTTGATTGACATCAAGCACTTGTATTTTACAAAATTAATTCCCGTGAGCTGCACAGTTTGGGTTTTCCATCTCACACCGCCAGGTGGTGCCCCTCCCTGGCTTTGCCCCTTAGGTCTTGAGCTAGAGCTGAAAAACTGATCGGGTTTGGTTCTTTGGCTGGGAGTGGGGTGCGGCCTGGAGCTGGTAGACTGGTTTTTAATGTTTTAATTTAGCTCGCTGGCCTATGCGGTTCTTTTTGTCCATAATGGCTGGCATGTCACAGAACTAAGAATCTGTGTTTCCCTCTGAGTAGGGGGATTAATGCACTTACACCCCAACCATACCCCCGACCCTGGAGGCCTTGGTAGGATTTGGGGGATCTGCCATCATGAGAACTACAGGAGTGGGGTGAGCCTCTGAGAGAACCAGCAGCCCCCGTGGGGTCTGGGGGGCCACCAGTGTGAGGTAGGGGAAGAGCATTCAGTCACGGCCAGACCACAGGTATCACATCAGGCAACTGCCCTCCATGTTGCTGGCCCTCCTCGGGGCAGGGGTACAGGATCCCTGAGGGCCTGTGCCCCGGATGCCCTCTCCCACCCCACCAGGAAGGGCCACAGCAGTGCCGCGGCTGCTCAGTGTTAAATGCAGGTTCGAGGCTGAGAAGAGAAAGGTGCTAAGCCATCAACTCTCCCGCAACACAGCCTAGCTGACTCTGGGATTCCAGATAAATGCCACAGGACAGTGATGTGCTGAGCATGGGAGGGGACAGCAGAAAGCCTACAACCAAAGGCAGGATCTGGGGGGCCAGGCCCGGGTCGGGGCACTGCACGCTTTGGGGGCAGGGCTTTGGGGGCAGGCGTCGCACAGGAGCGATCACTAGAATAAACTGGTTGGCAGCTGCCCCCCCCCCCACTGTTCAGCTGGAAGAGCAAGCTGTGCAGTCCGCGGTAGCCCCAGAGATGCACCCCGTTCCCTCCCTCCCTCCTCTCCTTGAAGCTTTCCAGAGTCGGACCTGGCTCTCTGATGGGACCTGCTTTGCCCCAGCACAGGCCCGTGAGAGGCCCCCAGGGGCTGGGGCTCAGGCTCCTGTTCAAGGGCTGAGCTGGGGGCCCTAAGTAGGAGTGTCCCTCCCTGGACCCCACACAAGAGCTGACAGGAGTACAGTGGCTGGAGGGCCGCTGACACCCCTGGGCTGGGTATCTGCCCCCCCGAGAGCAGGTGGAGGGGCTGCTGCTCCTACAGCCTCATTGTTCCCGGAAAGCTCGGATCCAGCCAACTGGCCTTGAGGGTCTCCTGAGTGTCCAGGGCAGTGCCAGGTGTGGTAGTGTGCGCCAGGAGCTCGGGGCACACACCTGATCTCTAAAGTGGCCCTGCAGACCGCAGACAAACACCGGACAAGAGGCGAGGGCAAGAGCTTCCAGGGGACGGCGCCGGGCCTCCCGCCATCCAAGCTGAATAAACCGGGTAATGTGCCGGCCCCAAGTCCGGGCAGCAGGTTGATTCTCAGACCACGTAGCACAGTCTTCGGTAACATGTCTACGCTCGTCTTTCAGCTGGCGTGGAGGCCAGGGCCCGGGTAGGGCTCACAGCGGGGTGCTGTTGGGCAGCCCCTCGGGCCACCCACCTGCCACTGGTGTCCAGGTTGTGTGGGTAGTGTCGGGGAGGCTGCCTGTTGGGTCGGGTTTTCTTCATGCAAGACTGCGGCGAGGGTGGAATCAAGGCCAGTGAGTACTTGGTGCCCCAGAGTGGTAACAAGGAGCTCAGCCGCGAAGAGCTGACTAAACAGATGGCCCCGTCCTCACCTGGCTGCCCGCTGCCGTCCAGCACTGGTCCCGGGAAGGCCTGCGGAGGCCACACGGTGCGGCAGGCGCCTCGCTGCCAGCAGCCCGGGGAGGGGCTTGTGGGCATGGGTGCTGGCGGCAGGCGAGGAGGCTGGTTCTTGGGCTTTTCCCTCGTTTTCAAACCGTGGCCGGATTCACCTTCCTTTCCTGGACACTGTCTCCTCTTTTCTCGACACTTTTTTTTTTCCTGTCCTTTATTTCTAGCAAGACTGAGGACTGGGGATATTTGAATGAAGATGGAGAACTCGGCTTGGCCTACCAAGGCCTAAAGCAAGTTGCCAGGTCAAACATGTGTCTTTCTCCTTGTGTCTGCTTTGTCTGTTCTGCCTGCTCTTGTCTACGCTTGTTTTTCAGCTGGCGTGGAGGCCAGGGCCCGGGTAGTGCTCACAGCGGGGTGCTGGCGGGCAGCCCCTCGGGTCACCCACCTGCCACTGGTGTCCAGGTTGTGTGGGTGATGTCGGGAAGGCTGCCTGTTGGGTCAAGGTGCTAACATTTGATGGCCCCCTGGAACCATCATGGGTGAGGACACTGAAGCTTTGAGGGTCTCAGGAACTTGAGGACCCAGGGTTGGAGCCTGGCTCCATGGCTGCCCGAGCCTGAACCCATAAGCCAGTGACCTTCCGGTCTGGGCGAGCAGCTGGGCATGGTGGTCGGGCTCACGTACAGCACAGCACACTGACAGCGCTGCCTGGGCCCTGCTGTGTGCTTCTGCAGGTCTGTGGCATAGTGTTGCTCACTTGAGCCCCCACAAAAGATGGGGACAGTGCTCTCCAGGCTTGTGTCCTAAAGGAGAAGGCTCAGCGCAGTGCAGAGCGGGCCACCCCAGCTCACGGCGCCAGGTGGTGGAGTGCCTGCTCTCACACGCCACCTCCGAAATTCTCCTGTCACAGCAACAAGAGCATCTCTCCCTTGCAAAAGTCAGTCTGCCAGGTGACGTGTCTCCAGGCTCCAAGTTCAAATGTGCCCCCGTGATCTGTAAGCAAGATGCCTGTGCCCTCCCATTGCTGGCAGGATGGAAGTCAGAACAGGACCTGCCTCGGGGGTCATGGAATGGGCACTGGCACTGGGCTGGCCTACCGTAGGCACAGGATGGGCGTTAGCTGCGGCTTCTGTTGTTCTCAAGGCTGGTGTTCGGTGAGAGGGGCTCCTGCCCCGCCCGGAAGTTTGTTTTATTGGAGTGGGGGGCCCTCGGGGCTCCCTCTCAGCAGACTGGATGTGGCTAATGCATGACAGTGATGAATGGCACCAAGCATGGGCCGATACATCAGACTTGGCTTCTAGAACCAGCTCTGCTGCTGGCTGTGGGCTTTGACGCCCCTCCGCCCGTTTTCTTGCCTGCAGGATGATGTGCCCCTGCCCCCAGCAGATGGTTGGTGGCATTCTTGGAGCTGGCACAGAGCTCAGGGCTAAGTGACCAGGGTTAAGTGACCAGGGTCTGTGTGGAAATAAAGATGTGGGCAGTGAGCGTGCGGCACTCACTGGGAACTGTCCCGCAGTGTCCCTTGCCCAGGCATCTCTGTTCTCGTGTATAACTTCGGACGACGGTGGGGTATCGTAGCCAGGCCTGGATGGGATCGTGACCGTTGTGCGGCTGCTAAAATGCGGATTTCGTTCCCAGATCTCCCCCACAGTCCTCATGCTGCTGCGCCTGCCTTGAGAGATGCCGCCTGCCTGCTCGGGGATCAGCCGTCCCTCTCTGGGCCCTCATAGTCCGTGGGAGCCGAGCATTGCGCCCCATCTTCATGGGCAGTGCTTCCCTGTGGGAGCTGGGGCGTGGGCTCCGTCTCACACCTCCGCTGGCCCGCGGGCGCCTCTTCAGTTCCCTGCCTCCAGGGCGGCCGGGGCTCGGGGTTCGAGCAGCTGTGCGCAGGCACTCCCACTTCCTGCCGGTGCCCGCCCTGGTCGGTCTTCACGTGCACCCAGAGAGACTGGGGTGCCCGTCCCACGAGGCCGACCACGCGAGGAAGCCTGGACCTCCCACCCCGCGCCGCCTGCCGTCTCTGGGGCAGGGCTCTCCAGGCTTGTTGCCCCCAGGTGTGAGGTCCATAGCACCGAATCAGCAGGGTCCTGACCCAGGTACCAGTCCAAGGAGATGGTGCCTGCCACACTGGCGTGAGCCTCAGCAGCTCTGCCACCCCTGGCTTCTCTCAGATGGTGGGTGCCCTGCCTGCACTCAGAGCGTCTTGAGATTTCTCCCCGACCTCCTCCGGATCTTTGCTGGGGTTCTCTGCTCCCTGTGGCGACACCGGCTGATCTTAAACCTTCCGCCTTTTTCATTTACCATTAGCCACGGTGGGGACAATTAGAGACAAGATTGGATATTAAGAGGGGCGGGGGATAAAAAGATAAAAAAAAAAAGAAGGGGACTATCATGTTACCTTTCTGAAGTTTGTGGCGCATCTGCTAAGAAAATGTGTGTGTGACACGCCGTGCGCAGTGCACCAGGGTTTGTCTTCTCAGACATCCCTGGGGGCTTTGGGGTCGATGTGGATGCTGTTACGTTAAAGATGCCGTGAGAAATTTCACAGCAGACATTCTTACCTGGAGATAATCTCTCAGCCCCAAATCAGCAGACCGCCCAAGACCGAGGAAGGGGGCACCGCGTTGGGCCCAGCTGGTCCCCGCGAGGACAGGCCTCCCGCTGGCCCCCGGTACCCCTCCGGCGGGTCTGTGCGCTGGCTGCTGCTGCGCGTGCTTGGCTGCTCCCCGGCGCATGTCCGCATGTGGCCCCTTCCTGGGGCCCTGACCAGAGCCCCACAGTCACCTGCCCTCCTCCCCTGCTGCAGGTTGCTGGAGGCCCAGCTGCAGGCCCAGAGCCGCGAGCATGAGGAGGAGGTACAGCGGCTCCAGGCCCAGGTGGAGGCGCTGAGGGAGGAGCTGGACAGGCAGCAACAGACCTTCTGCCAGACGCTGCTGCTGTCCCCGGAGGCCCAGGTGGAGTTCGGCGTGCAGCAGGAGCTCTCCCGGCTGACCAACGAGAACCTGGTGAGTAGGCTGGCCACTGGGCCCAGCCTCTGGGCAGTCACGCTCCAGAAACGAGGTCAGGGGAAGTGCCTTTTGCCAGTCGGACAGGCCCCCCGCAGGGGCTAAGTAGAAACCTCGTCAGCAAGGGCTGAGGGCGCCAGCTCCGTTACCTGCTACTGCCTAACCGAGCTCCAAGCCTAGCTGCATCACTGCCACCCCACCAAGAGGGTCATGGGTTCCCGGGCGTGGCTCCTCACCCTATGCTCTGTGGCCATCCGCCCACTCCCACCATTCACTGGGGACCCCAAGCTGCCCCACTTGGCGCTGTTCCTAAAGGGGGAATGTGGAGCGGGCGGTCTCTGAAGACCCGGATCCAGTGGCAGCCCAAGGATGCCTCGGCCAGGGTCTGTTGATCAAAGCAACCCCGGGGCTAGGCCCAGTTTCAGCGGGCAAGTGCCCTCTGTTGCTGGGAGGGGGATTGGGAGGCGCCGCCCATGGCCAGCAGAGCCTGCGGGTGCCAGAGATGGAAGAGGAGAGTACCTCTGACCACACGCTTATGCATGGGGCTAAGAAACACAGTAGCCCCCCCTTAGAGGGGTGCATTCCAAGACACCCAGAGGATGCCTAAAACTGCAGATGGTACGCTTGCTGTATCGTCTTTCCTCGACATGCACGCCTGTTATAAAGCTTCATGTACACATTAGAAATGGTGAGAGATAACAATAGACGCAGAGCAGTTATACTTTAATGTTTAGCATAGTATTCAGCGCATTATAATTATTCTTCTCTCAAAATGTTGAACACAGTATTTTCAGATTACATTTGACCATCAGTAACAAACCATGGAAAGTGAAACCAAGTTATTGGGAGCTGTGACATTACAGATGGTGAGAACTGCAGGGGAGGCTGAGGTGGAGCTTAAGCTGAGGGAGGGCAGGAGTGAGGAATTCCCCCACACACACACCCCCACAGGCCCACACCCCTGCAGAGCTTCCAGTCTGGGAGCGCTTCCCTGTAGCCTCAGGGGCCCCAGCCTCTCCTCCCAAGGAAGGAAGCGGGCCCCAGATGGGACGCACACACGCAGGGCCTCATCCTGGCTCCCCTCAGGCTCACGCGTCAGCAGGTGGCTTTATGGAAAGGCTGTCTTCTGCCAGGTGAAGGTGGCCATGGGGGACATGCTGGAGGGTTCACTGTCTCACCTGAGTTTATAGGCACCTCACTTTGACAACTTTTTTTATTACCCTAGAGAGCGGAAGTCTTTGACAATAACTAGGTGTGGCACATGCCACTGCAGCAGCCCCGGGGCTGAGCCTTTTTGGCTGACTCCATCTGCAGGCCAACTTTAAGAAATTGTCACGTAGATGTTTTTTGAGACACATCACTCATGGTCTTGGTGGCCGGCCACAGGGTGGGAGGGGAGAACCATTCACTTCCCGGCCCCAGGTTAGCTCCCTGGTCTGCTGGCTCTGCCCGCCCCTCCACCCGCACTTCCCAGGGTACTGTCTGCCCACCTGAGCAACCCCAGGCTGGCTTGGGAGGAAGGCATTGGCCTAGAGAACCTTGGGGTTGAAAGAGGCAGCCAGCAGAGCCAGGAGGCGCTGACAGCATCCTGACTGAGAACAGGAACTCTGACCTATGTCCTGTTCCCGGGTCCAGAGCAGGGGCAGCAGGTGTGTGCGGCAGGTCAGCCATGGTCAGAGTCCAGCCCTTCTCAGTGACCTTCACGCTGAGCCATGAGATTTTACCCTGGCTCTCTAGGGCGGAGGAGTTTCAGTCTGTTCTTACCATTCCTTTGGCTTTCAGGACCTGAAAGAGCTGGTAGAAAAGCTAGAAAAGAATGAAAAGAAGCTCAAAAAACAGCTGAAGATTTACATGAAGAAAGTCCAGGACCTGGAAGGTAGAGTGTGTGGGCCTGCGAGTGCAGCCTCGGGGGCGTGGGGGAGGCCAGCAGAGCACAGAGCCCCCCGCCACAGGGGCCTCACCCCGGCTGCCGTTAGTCAGGAGGAGAAAGGTCAGGTCTGTGAGTCCAGCTCTGGCCTGGAGTCTGGCTGAGGTCTGGATCCCTCTCCTGTGACTCCTACTATGACTCTGACCACCACCTACGGCCCTCTCTTGGCCTCGTCAGCACCTGGGTACCTCTCCCCCAGGGCTCCAGCGCTGCCTCTCGCTGTTGTCACAGCCTGAGCCCACAGGTTTTCTGTTACTTGTTCAGTCATTTTTATGCTCACGCGCTGCTCTCATGGGGCCCGGGCCCTCAGTCCCCACACTCTGTGTCCTGCATGTTCGGACTTCTTCTCATTCCTCTATTTTTAATCTTTCTGGGGCTTCCTTGCTGAGGTCACACTTGGAGTGTGGGAACTCAGAAAACCCAGAACGGTGGTCCTGAGACAGCCCTGCCCCAGGCCGGGACCTGAAGGGCTTCATTCACGCTCCGCCATGTCTCTCCTTCCCAGCGGTGCAGGCCTTGGCCCAAAGTGAGAGGAAGCGCCACGAGCTCAACAGGCAGGTCACCGTCCAGCGGAAAGAGAAGGACTTTGAGGGCATGCTGGAGTACCACAAGGAGGACGAGGCCCTCCTCATCCGGAACCTGGTGACAGGTCAGGACCTCCCCATCCCCGCGCATGACGCCCCTCCCTACCCCACTCAGGCTGCAGAGCTGTGTTACTGTCAGCTTCACAGGTGCTCCTGTGCGGAGGTCTGTGCAGGCCGCTGGCGGGGCTCTCGGGAGCTGCTCTCCTCACCAGCCTGGAGCCTGCCCTGCCCGTAGTACAGCCAGAGGCCCCTCTGGCTTCGAGATGCCCAGCTTCCCGCTGTGTCTAATTCAGGGCAGCATCCTAGTGGAGAGGAGCTGTGCTGCCCCACGACCCCCTCCCCATCCTCACAGCAGTAACGGGGCATCAGGGTGCGGCAGAATGTGACAGAGGGGAACAAACTAAAGCCACACCCTTCTCAGATCTGAGGGATTTGAAGTGGTAGCTTTGGCAGAAATTCAGGTAAGAGCCAACGTTATTTTACAGAGCGTGAAGTTTGTGAAGGTCCATCCTGCCAGCTTTAGCCCTGTGCTGAGAGCCACAGGAAGTATAGGGTGTGACTTCTGCTTTATTTTATAGGGGTTAATTCCCCTACAGTTGCTCAACTGATGTGACATAAATCATCTTAAATTCCCTTAAACAGGCTGCCTCTTGTTCCAATGCAGCAGGGAATGAACCTTTGAGCTCATGGCGTCAGAGTGAAAAAATGAAACTGCCCGTGTCTGCAGATAAGTGCCCCAGGCACGGCCCTCCCTGCTAAGCTAGCTGCACAGCGCCACTCACCTCCCTGCAGAACCCCATCCCAACGACGGCCAGGGCTGGGCTCTCTGAGAAATGGCGAGCCCAGCCCTTGTCCCGTGGTTGTAACGTCTATCTGGGCGGACAAGCCAGTCGCCGGGCTACCTGGCTCACATCACAGCAGAAAATTTCAGGGAAGGACAGGCTGTCTGCAATCTGTGCACTGGTCAGACATCTGGGCCCTAAAATACACGTTTTTCTGGACGTTCCTGGCATTCTAATTAGAGCCAGGGCTGACTCTCTGTTGAGCCTGTGAAGTGCCCAAATGTCAGCCGCGTGCCAGCATGTGTGACTGGCGAGAACAGGATGTGCTGGGAGGCAATGTGACCGCAGCCGTGCAGGCCTAACAGTCTCTTCCCTCCCCAGCCCCTGGGCTGCCTGTAGGTGGGGGGCAGGTGGCCTCTCCCACCGGCCACTCCCAGCCTGGAGTTGGTGCATGAAGCCTGGGAAGGGCGGCAGGTACAGGTGGGAGGGATGAGAATGAACGCGCGGACAGGGCAGGTGCCCTGCTGACCTTGTCGTTTCCGCCGCCTCTGGGCTCTTGCCACCGGGCTGCCCTCTGGTCACTTCTCCCTGGCAGGGGATTCACAGGGAAAGTCACAAGCCCCTTCAGGTTCTGCCAGGGCACAATGAAAGGAACAGGTGGAGGGGAATGAAGCCACTCATCTGCTAGCACTCTGCCCGGGAAGTAAGTTTCCCAGCCACGGCCAAATGTGCTAGAGGTTATTGCCGTCTGCCCAGCCCTAGCACCCTTGCTGCTGAGGCCCCTGTGGCCACCGTCGGGAATGCGGGGGAATCCAGTGTTCAGCAGTCTCTGGCCAACTCTGACTCAGAGCGCTGACTGAGTTGTGTGGGAACCTGTCTTGGTGCAACCAGGAATGTGTTGTTTGGGGTTTTAACCAGTTCTCCACCTCCCCCCACGTCTATTCTGAGATGAGCTACAGGTAAAGAATAAAATATTTATATTCGTTATATTCACTCTCAACGGCATGGGTCTCAGCTGCAAATGCCCTGCTCTCTGTCTGTCAGAGCTGAAGCCCCAGGCGCTGGCAGGCACGGTGCCCTGCCTCCCAGCCTACATCCTCTACATGTGCCTCAGGCACGCCGACTACATCAACGACGACGTCAAGGTGCACTCCCTGCTCACGTCCACCATCAATGGCATCAAGAGAGTCCTGAAGGTGCGTGTCCCAGGCCCCCGTGGCCAATACCTCCCCACTGCTTCTCTACAAAGCCTCCAGCTCTGCAGGTAAACGATGTAAGCACAGAAGCAGCTTACCTGTGTACCTGGAATACCCAGGCACCTCCATAGAGGGAGAAAGAGGCTCAGGAATGGCAGAAAGCGGGTAGTTCTCCAGCTGCTCCCTGCTTAGCTTCCAGGGAGCCCCGGGAGGGCTGGCTAGCGAGGATTGCACACTATCTCTCAGGGGCGGATTACTGCTGGTTCACGACCTGCCTGCGCTATTAGGGCCCAGGGCTGCTAGCATGAAGCTTTGTGTCACTTGGCTTGTATGTTCAGCCTGAAGGTCTCCTGTCTCCAGGGGCAGGGTTTGCTTCCCATCCCAGATAGTGGAGGGACAGTAATGCAACCTCTTGGCAGTGGGGGTCCTCTTTGTGACAGGCAAGTGCCTACCCATCACAGGTCTGCTGGGGGTGCTGGATGAGAAAGGGAAACCCAGAAGGAGAGGTACCAAGTAAGCATCTCACCTGGTGGCCATCACTGCTCAGAGCCGGGTTGTCTTTTCCTCTCCACAGAAGCACAATGACGACTTTGAGATGACATCCTTCTGGTTATCCAACACCTGCCGTCTCCTCCACTGCCTGAAGCAGTACAGTGGGGATGAGGTGAGTGCTGAGACCAGCCAGCCCTGAGTGCCCCAATCCTTAAGCAGTCAGGTCCTCACACTACCTCAGTGCTTCCACATCAGTGCACCCTCAGAACAGGGGCAGTATCGGTCATGGAAGGCACCCTGCTTTGTCCAAATGTGGGTCGTCTCCCCAAGGGAGAGGGTGAAAGGCCTCTGGGACTTCAGGTGTGCCTTGTTACTTACCTGCTAGAAGCAGGAAGGCAGCCAGGAGCCCCCCGGGACTCTCCAGGGAGGCCTCTGTGACCTTGACTTTCGGAGGTAGCCCTAGATAAGACCCTTTATGAGACTTGGGTCCCTCTCCCAAGCCAGACACCAGGATGTCCACCTCCAGGCACGCTGCAGCCACATTCATACAAACTGATGGCTGAGGTCCAAACGCATGTTTCTAGCTACAGTTGATTCCGTGATCCTCTCCTGCCTCTGACCACCCACTCACCTTTCCTTTCTCCCCTTCTCAAGGGCAGCACGTAATATAAACCTATACAGTGCAACAATTTTTAAAGCTTATCTTTAATTCATTTGCTATGTCTTAGCTATTCAAATTTATCATCTCTTACACCTGTTTTTATTAAGAAATGCTTTGTGATGTGACAAGACCCTCTGCTGAGGCTGGTCGCCCTTTTGGAAGGAAACACTGGTATTTTTGCCTATTGGTTCCTTTTTGCCTGAAAATAGAGGGGGCAGTGGTCATGTTGAGTCCTCTGGATAGCAGCAACTTTTCAAACGTACATATTATTTTGTCTTGGAGGACAAAGTGCTAAGCCATTTCCTTTATTAACATACAGACTGACCCGGACCACAAAGTGCTGAGCCATTTCCTCTATTAACATACAGATTGACCCGGGCCACACTCTTTTATGGGCTGTATCCACTTGGATTTTAGGTATATTGGCAGAACGTGTGGGTTCTTCTTTCCTTAGCACAGCTACCAGTCTGAGTTTTGCTACCTTAAGAAAATCGCCTCTCACCTCAGGGACAGGAGTAAATGATTTAGGCCTTTTTAGTTAAGCAGTTCCAGCTTCTCTATCATGCTAAGCTTTCACATTGTCATCAAATCGGGGCCATCACTGAAGTGTCAAGTGAATGACAGCTTTATAGGACATCAAATCCATACTGTGAGAGTAACCAGGTGCCCAGAAGCCCTGCTAAGCCTAGCAGATCATGGAACCTCAGTGGTCTGAGGTTTTCCTCTGCTTTCCCTCCGCAGGGCTTCATGACTCAGAACACCGCCAAGCAGAATGAGCACTGTCTGAAGAATTTTGACCTCACTGAATACCGCCAGGTGCTGAGTGACCTTTCCATTCAGATCTACCAGCAGCTCATTAAGATCGCAGAGGGGCTGTTGCAGCCCATGATAGGTAAGCACTGCCTGTCCCTACTGTGTGGGGCAGACATGGCCCTGGAAAGCCAGGAGCTTCCCATGGAAATGCTTGGGGTAGTGAGAATGCAAAGATACATATACGCACACCCCTTATTCATGGAAATAGTTTGAAAGCATCAAGTGCCTTCATGTGGAAGAACACAGTAGCGAGTGTTTATGCAGCCAGTACTGCTTGAACACTGTCCATAGCAGTACAGGGGGACAGCTGACATGAGATCAGTTATCGAGAAAAAAAAATATAGCAGTTATTTAAAAGAAAAAATGGCTTCATGTGTGCATCACTCACTGTGCTCCATAAAGGCTGGGGAGAAATTGGTCCCCTGGTCTGCTGTGCAGTGCTGTCCCCATGTTCTTGCAACACAAAAGCCTGAATTCCAGGTAGCGCAGGGTCCCTTGTGCCCTCCAGGAGCATATCCCTTGGGGATAATGTGTTTTCCGAATCCTCCTTGCCCGGTACCAGTTAATTCCTACCAGACAGAAGGACAACTGACTCAGTAACAGAAGGGTTAACAGTCCAGTTCTAGAGCTGGACAGACCTGTGCTTAAGTTCCAGCCCTGCTACTTCTAGCATTGAGACCTTGGCCAAAATATCTGACCTCTTCATGCTTCCGTTTCCTCACTAATAAATGCATTGTTGAAAAAGAAATGACATATAGTTACCTGGCTGTGCAGTGAGTCTGGAAGAGATGTTTGAACACTTGCAGTCCTGAGTGATCCAAAAACATCTCCTTTGAGAAAATCATGCTTGTCTTTCAGTGTCTGCCATGTTGGAAAATGAGAGCATTCAGGGTCTCTCTGGTGTAAAACCGACGGGCTACCGGAATCGCTCCTCCAGCATGGTGGATGGAGACAATGTATACTGCCTGGAAGCCATCATCCGCCAGATGAATGCCTTTCATACAGTCATGTGCGACCAGGGCCTGGACCCTGAGATCATCTTGCAGGTATTCAAACAGCTCTTCTACGTGATCAACGCGATGACTCTCAACAACCTGCTTCTGAGGAAGGATGTCTGCTCCTGGAGTACAGGCATGCAACTCAGGTAGGACAGAGGTGCCCACTCTGGCCCACAGGATGGAGGGGTCCCATGCACAGCAGCAGAGTCAAGCACAAGACATCTGTGAGAGTGAAATTCAAATCTGACAGTCCTTGTCACAGCAGTATGACTCAAATCCATCAACCCGTTTATTTGCTGCTAAAATTCCTGATTTGTTTCCCAAGTCACATTTCAGAGTTCCACATAGAAGTAAAATATGTATGAACGTCTAAATTGTTTTCAACGCAGCATATTTAATGCCTCTTTTTCCATTAACTTATTACACAGATACTTCAAATAGTTCCTCTTTGCTAGAATTTTAAGTCCCTGTTCATCACCACAAAATGAGGACCAGGCACTTCACAAGCTTTTGTGAACTCACGAGGATGTGAAGGACAACCCTAGTTAGTTAAGCGATAACATAAACATGACAGGTGGCTTTACCACTGCTCACTTTTGCCCATATCCAAGGTACAATATAAGTCAACTTGAGGAGTGGCTTCGGGGAAGAAACCTTCACCAGAGTGGAGCAGTCCAAACCATGGAACCTCTGATCCAAGCAGCCCAACTCCTGCAGCTAAAGAAGAAAACCCCTGAGGATGCCGAGGCCATCTGCTCGCTGTGCACCTCCCTCAGCACCCAGCAGGTAGGGCTGCTCCCTGCTTCCACACTGGGCTCACACCACTTCAGGTGTATGTTGAAACAGACCACACATCGCTGATCTGGTCTGCTATTGTACTTCGAGTCTCAACATGCCCCTAATGAGTTAGTTCTGAATGCTTCTGTGTGAAAGGTCCCTGGCTGAACCAAAGAGCACTTTGGCCTGCGAAAGAAGATGCCACAGTCACTGGTGTCCTGTAACTTTTGGCCCCTCCTCTCTGTTCACTTCAAAAGACAAGGTCTTAAACCCACAAAACATCAAACTTAGGTAAAAGCTGGCAACATCAGGCATTAAAAAGTTGCCTTCTATATAACTAACTTATTTCCAGTCATGTTTTCATGCAATCCATTTATATTATTTTAAATAAGGAACCTGGAAGCACTTAAATATGCCTTTCCCTTTCCTCCCCAAATTGTATGTATTCTACAACTCGGGTACAGAGATTACCAGGATCTATAAAGATCAAGCCTGCTCACACACAAGGCAACCTTACCTTTCCTCCTGAGTGTGCTATATTTAGAAATGCCTCCAAAGAGGTAGTTGTACAAAACAAGACCAGCACAAGAAAGTCGGAGATCCCAGATTACACCTTCTTCTGCCCAGCACCTTAAAGGAACACAAAATCCAAACTCAGTATTACAAAGTTAAACATACCTTTCCTTACTTCCCCCACTAACTAAACTTTCAAGAAAATCACCTTCGGGTGTCGGAGACTTTGTCTCCGATCACAGATTATTGGGGGGGCAGAATAGTCAGGGTCCCAAGGTGGGAATGGTGTTGGGGAACAGAGATTCCTAGAAAAAGGGGGAAAAGGGGAGAGGACGCGAGGAAGACATGGGAATGGGAGTTGGGTGCAAGTCTTCCTGCTCTACCTTTAGCAGAGATTTATTTTATATACTTCAAGCAGGCAAAGGGATGACATTAGCATATGAAATGGGCTGAGACCACAATCACCTTTTTTACTAAGAATAGTCTGGGTTCCTTTTGACCTTCAGTTGAGATTATAACATTTTTAAAGTCAAACTATCAAGGTTAAAACAAGTACATAGATTCACAAAGTTTAAGACTAATCTTACTATATTTACCACAGTGAAGATTAACCAAAATAAAGTCCCTTAAACATTATCTATTAAAGGCTTTCATTCTCATAGAGACATCCTAGGGGGTAAAGTAAAGTGAGGGCAAGACGAGGAAATTTCTTGTAAATCAAATTAAGGTAAGGTTCTTTGAAAAACTTGTTAAAAGGTTTTAAGTGAGTTTCCTTGAGGTCTAGACAGTAGAAAATGTAATTAGTCTGAATAGTGACAGAAAGACTAAATAGTAGAATCCTGAAAGACTAGCCAGAAGACTTTTGTGAATTCCTTTGAAGTGTAGCAGGTAGAAAACCTGACTAGTTCTAAAACAGGCATCCTGGATGAATTTCCACATCTAAAGGCCGGACAGTAGGAAGTTTGAGTAATTGTTTAGAAGCTGAATAGAAAGCTAGGTGAGATAGTAGAGTGGTAAGATTTGGGCTCTCCTCCATCCGGCAGTGAGAGAGACTGCAGACACAGCCCTTTTGCTTTTATTGATCAGCCAGTTGTCAAGTCACTTGACTTCAGAGGAATTTCTCACTCTGGTGCAGTACTTGTTCATCAGGGCCAGGTAGCACCTCCTGAGGCTGAGGCAATCCAATTGTAAGCTGAAGGTTGCTCAGAATATTTTGATAAAAAAATATAAAAATATTTTGATAAAAAAAAAAGGGAGGTCATAACATTAGTTAGCGTGGAAAGTGATTTTTCAGAGCATTTCCCCTCCACCTGTACAGTGTCTGTCGATAGAGGTTGTATAGCTTGTGTCATTCGGGGTCTACCTGGTGGCACAGGGTTAATGTCTCAGTGTTGTCAAGCCACTGCAGCATGAGTTGATCCCTGGTCAGGGAGTTCAGTGACCCACATGGTACAGCAGATCTCTCCCTCCTCCTCTGATGAATCTTCTCACACACCCCCACACCTCTGGCCTGTACCCCAGTTCATGCATGCATAAGTAAATGAACAAGTTCTTAAAAATTTTTTAAATCACAGTATGTTAATAGGTAAGTTTACAGACATTTTCCCCTTTTAATGCAACTAGCATTGTTTTGTGAAGATACTTCTACCAAATTAATAGGAGGCAGGCAAGGGTTATTCTACTTTCCAGGAGGATAAAGTCCTTACTTTATGAGGCAACAGGAAGGCATCAGCCACAGCAGGCAAGTCTGCAGACCCATTGTGGACTGGTGGGTGCCAGCCCGGCCCGTCTGAGGCAGTCCTGTTCAGAGGACTGCACACTTGCACCACTGCCAGGCTCTTGAAAATTCAAAAGTTCCTCTAGCGCTGGTCTAAACTTTTTTTTTTTAATCTAACAGATTGTCAAAATCTTAAACCTTTATACTCCCCTGAATGAATTTGAAGAACGGGTAACAGTGGCCTTTATACGAACAATCCAGGTGAGTCTTCACATATCAATTTTATACAGTTCTAGTCTAAAACTAATACAGGAAATTTGAGGTTTAGAGTTTAACCTTGCTTCTATTTATTAGTAAAGTGTTGGTTCATTGCATGCTAAAGGAACTTACATTCAGTCTTCCCTTTAGATAGCTGTGAACTCTACCACCAGTGGTTAACTTCTGATAAGTACACAAAAGACTGAGTTTTTATAATCTCTTGCTCAGATTTTAGACACAGCCAAAATATTATTTCATGTGCTATAGCATACTATGACTGTATAGCACCAATGGAATTAACAGTAAATAGGATATTAGTTCTGTCTACAAAGGCTACTAAGAAACAATATTTTAAGAAAACAATTTGATGGCTTAGATCTTGTTTCTGGGACTTAACGCTATTTGCCCTTAGGATTATACGTCTGAAAAAAAACATTAGGCAAATGATTTGTTTAAATCTGAAGATTACAGCAATGTTTTGCATACAGCTGAGCTCCCTAGAGTTGAGCACCTGTTACATGAATATTTCTCCCAAGATTAATGTGGAAATCACCTTTTAAACAAACTCTATGGGGAAAAAATCACCAGAGGAAGAGGCAAGAGAAGGGCTATCAAACTGAAGATTTACCAGACATTGAGAACTTTGGCCTTCATGTAAGAAGCTATTTCCTTTAAAGAGTCTTCGGATATTGTCAGAGGGCCTGACAGGAAGTCAGTGTAGCGATCTACAGATCTCTAGAAAGAGCCACAGAACCCTGGGCCGCAATGGTAAAACAGCAAGAATAGAGGCTAAAGGCAAAGGGAGGGATGCCAAGTGAGAAGAAGGTGCTTTCAAAAAGGCAGTGGGGAAAAGGCAGTGGGTTGCTACAGATAGACGCTCTCAAGCAGGGCGCTCTCAAGAGGCAGGCATCTGACAGAAAGGATCCAAGAACAGTCAGCTGCTGAAATGGGAGGAGCAGAACAGCAGCCACTGAGTTATCTGACTCTTATCTGAATTTTATGGAGAACTGGAGACAGTCTTCCTTGGTTTTAAACATATGCAAGACACAGTAGAGGGAATGCTATAACTGGTTATGAATTAACAGCACTGTTTGGAAAAAAAAAATTAGGCCAAAGGTTACAGAACAGTGCCAAGTGAGACTTCAGCTGAGGACACGAGGGGAAGGGAAGGCGAGCTAGCCAGTGAGTCCTGGACACACACAGCCAGATTCTGAGCCTTCCTCCATAGTTTTCAGCATCCAGTGATTTCTATCAGAAACTATCACTTTGGATTTTTTTTAAGCTGTTTATGCCAGTTTGTTTTTATGTCTGTTTCTCCCTAGACAGTATTTAAAGGAAATGATAAAACGATCCTTGCCAAGTACCTTATCTCTGATAAATAAAAGTTGTTAAAGCAAGCCATTTGTTGGGGTGGTAAGGACAGGTTATGCTGACCTTCAACATACAAATTTGAGGAGTTTCTTGTGAAATGACTACCTTGTGAATTTTAAATAATTAAATCATACCTACATTATTACAATTCAGCAGCAAAAGGCCTCTAGATATTTAACTTTTTTTACATTTTATAATAGTATATTTTTATATATGTTTGTGCATTTTTCCATCTCAGTTGCAATCCCCTTGGCTTCCCATCACCCATGTGTCATCACCATAGTCCAGTGCATTTCCCTCCCCCCACAAAATGTCTCTGGCATATAGCTGTTCATCATAATTTTCTCGCCTGTTCCGTTATATTCCTGCTATGAGTGAAACCATCTGGTATTTTTCCTTTTCTTTCTGGCTTATTTCACTAACCGTGATCTTTTCCAGCTCCATCCGTGTTGCTGCAAAAGGCATGTTTTTATTTATTTATTTTATTTTGGTTGCTGAGGAGTATTCCATTGTGTATATGTACCACATAGATATTTAACTTTTTGGTTCCATTTTCTGTTCTCTAAATCCTTACATCTGACCTCAAGGAATATGAACATTTCACGTACACCTTGCTGTGATCGCTCAGTGCAATCCTGAAGACACCATTCTGCCGGGCTCACCACAAAGCCACCACTCGGTATCATCCCTCAATAGCCTGCCCCTTTTAAATTTTTCCTATTTCAAACTAGTTTTCCAAGCTGTTAAAATTCAAATTTTGGCCCATCATTGAAAATGCCAAATACGTGGGTGTTTTTAAAGTAACACCTGAGAATTTAAACCATGCTTTTCATTTGTTGTCCACCGTCAAGTCTAGATCTCACCACCCCACGATCCTCCACACGCACTGATTTCACCCTAAAACCTATTCCCCAGCACTTTTCGATTGCTACTGCATATTGATTGATCTCACGGCTTAAAAGCTGAAGAAAAACAGAGGTGCTATGCTATGAGTGTTTGTGTCAGCTACCACATCCCAAGTTTAGCAGATTAATATATCCCTCTGTGTCTTCTCTGAAAAAGGGAACTGATGCAGCTTCTAGAATGTTACAGCACTCAAAACACTGCCACTATTTGAAGCAATAAAGGGGGCCCTGGCCCCAAAGAAGAAAAAAATATCAAACTTCATTTCACCTTCATTCTTGCAGGATAATCTCACCAGATCCAGAATTCTTGACTAACAGGAGTTTTTTCCCTTCAAGGTTTTTAATAACTAATCTTACTAAGGATATCTTGTATGTGATCAGTCACTTTAGCCTTGCTGCGCTCAAGATTTTCTCTGTTGGGTTCTTATTGACTGACAGTAAAGTGCCTCTGAATGAGCCTCTTTGAGTTTGGTAAGGTATAGACAAATGACCTGTCACATCATCATGGCCCACAAACATGGGGGTGTGCAGGCAGACTTCATCAGATATCCTGCTGCCCTTCCTCTTCTCTCCTCTAAAGACCCCGTCTTATATAGCGTCTCACAGCTCCACAAGCTCTGTTCACTGATCTTTTCTTCTGCCTGTTTAAGACTGCTGCTGAACCTTTTTTAGTGATCTAAGAATTTTCACTTCGATTAAGATCCTAAAAATGTCCGGCTCCAAAGAGAGGAGAGGGAGGGGGTGTGTTCCTTTAAATTTTCCCATCGATCCCCTGGGGGAAACCACTGCATCCCAAGAGAGCTGGTCAAGGTCTCCTGCACCAGGAGTGAGGACCACGGCTGGCTCCTGCACCTACGCTCTGGACTATCCCTTCGTCAACACTCTCCTGCCTGTGGTAATCTCTAGTCAGTTCAGAGGCTGCTAACACCCCTTACTTTATCCAGCTCCTAGTTACTTTAGGAGGAGAGCTCCCTACACTGTCGCTTGGTGTAGTCCCACACACCCCCATTTCTTTAAACGACTAAAGCACAGAGAGGCGCAGGGATTCACCCAGGTGGCTGTCTCCTGAGCCCATCACTGCCTTTCCACTTGCTCTGAGTCTGCAGTGGGTTTTTGTTCTCCCCTAAATGAAAATTTTAGAAGAAGGTTAGTGTCAAAGCTAGCTGATCTCTAACAAGCCTAAACTAGGGGTCCTCTCTGCTAAAACCCTCAGACAGAGGGGCCCAGGCCCCGGCGCCGAGCCCCCTCTCCGGTGTGCGGTCACCTGTGCTGGCTCTGTCTCCCCACAGGCACAACTGCAGGAGCGCAATGACCCCCAGCAGCTGCTGCTAGACTGCAAGCATATGTTTCCTGTTTTGTTTCCATTTAATCCATCTTCTCTGACCATGGACTCAATCCACATCCCAGCGTGTCTCAATCTGGAGTTCCTCAATGAAGTCTAAAATTGCACATTCCCAACTTTGGCACAATTTCCAGTGAAGCAAGGAGCCCAACAGTCAAGCCAATGTAAAGATCTGTTCAATCTGCCAAAGTAGATCAGAGGTTGAGTGCCTGTGCGGCGTGCTGAACTACACAGTAAGAGACTTTTGTACCTACTGCTCAGAATAAAAACACTTGAAATATGGAAGAGAAATATGGAAGTATGGAAAAATTTTTTTAAGTATGACTTCCTTCTAGACGAATCACACCTTAATTTATAGCCACCAAGCAGTCCCCATGGCCATGTAAAAGGTGCCAATCTATAAAATGGACGCTTCCTAGTTTTGATCGCTGAATATAATGTTTGAATTTTGTAAATTGTCTTCAGTAGCCTTTTAACAAATGATACTGTCATATATAGTAGTGATATTTCCCCAAGCTTGACAAACTATAAGAACAACTGAGTTTGTGGGGAAATGTTTGAGAACATGAACAGACCTATGAATTCTGCAGTTTCCCAAAGGCATTTAATGCCTGGTGGTAAAAAGGAAATGAAATACTTGACATCTAGACCAAATGTCTTATTGGTTTCTAAAACAAAATTAGAAGACCCTGCCCCACGAGTTATGCTAAAAATGAGGCTGTCCCTAACTTAAATTGTGAGCAAGATATTCTTTGCTTTCAATGTTAGCACACTTACTGAGTAAACCAAACTTTCACAAACCCTAGAAAAGATAACTTGTTTTATTTACAGACCTAAAGGTCAAAGAAGTGAGTAGGAAAGCCTTTACCCCTTAATGCCATTAAACCTCCTAAGAGCATCACATACTAGTAATTTTAGATAACCAAAATTGGAAAAGAAAGCAAACTTTATTTGAAAAATTTTTTGGTTATTCAACTTTTTCCAAATTTACCACCTAAATTTCAAGTATCACTTAAAAATCAAATAGCTCTGCTCTGAAATAAGGATTAAAAGAACAATTCTGTGATAACATTGCAGCAGACTTCTCAAAAGTCGACATTCAATTAGAAAACATTACATATACTTGATGTCCTACTTAGTATTTTTCTCCATTTCTGGTAGATAATAGTAAATTTTTTCTCAGTAGGGGCAGACACAGAGGCTTCTTTTCTATGATTTGTGAACATTACCACATCCAGATTTCTCCTTGAATTGCACACACACACAGTAGGACACACACACAGTTGGTTACTAGGCCTCTCAACTTAAAACAACACACTCTGAACACTAGGAATGTTCATGCCTACATCTTGACCCTCCGCCTTCTCTGTCAACCCCCTTGCCCACTGGGCAGTACAAGGCTCAACACCTGGACGAAGCCTGCTGCCTGTCATGTCCAGGTCAATGTTAACGGCACTTTCCCCTCTAGCTCCGTGTTACATATCCCCGCTTCTCTGGGGTTTGCGAAGGTCTATCAGTTCGTCCTTTCTTTTCCAATTATACCATGGGATACACCCTGCACATGCTGACTGTGTTGGAAGGCCAGTCTACACCAATTGGGTCTATGGCTACCTCTTTTTAAAGGCATTTAATATAATTAATATAATTTGCTTTTTACTGCACTTTAAAACTGAGTCTCTCATGTAAGGATCTTCCTCAGTCTTCAGGGTAACCAAAAATACCTTGCTTGAGTGTTAGAGTTTGGTAAGTAGTGATTCCAAGGCTGTCCTTACATAGTCTGGTATCCACATTCCCTCCATCTCTTTGGCTCATTGCTGTCCACTGTTACTGGCTAATTACTAGGTATCAAGGACTAACTAAAATATGAGCTTGGCCTGTTTTTATTGGAGATGTGGGAGAGAGACCATGAACAGTTTCCTACATAGCCTAAGATGCTTTAATTCCTTTAAAACAGATAATGGTATTTCACTGGAACAGTACTTAATTTATATCCACTTAAAAACATACTGTTGTAGATTGGCTGCTTAATGTTTAGATCTGCCCTATTTAACTTCTGAAGACTAGAAGTACCACCTTTAGGGGAACTTGAATGTTTTGTGTTTTTATTCTTTGCATTTTTTAAAGTCAGTTCAACTCATATTGCCCAACTTCATAAAAGCAATGACTTCATTTAAATAACATAGTGCAACATAGAAGTTTGAACTCTATACTAGATGTCCTTATTTTTTAATACTTAAAGTTTAGTTAACACTTTATTCACTATGTGCCTTTGGCAGTTATGAAGATAACTGACTATCAATTATCTCTCTGAAATACATGTTGCTGTGGAAGAATTTTAAAGTTTAACATAACATCAAGATAGTTTTGATTTTGTCCTCTGAAATGTAAGCATTTTAAAGATTACTTAAGAATGAAATATTTATAGATAAAACAACTTGTGTTTGAAGCATTATATGGGAGCCTTCTGTTTACCTGTAGTTATGTGTTATGTACATCTTGATTATTATGAAGTTGACAAGCACATTTCCTATATGTATTCATTTTCCCTGTGCCATCCTAACTGGTTAGCTTTACTGGTACCTGTAGCATCACCTGACAAGCAGATCAGAACCAAAGGAAAACATAGTTTTCCCTTTTCCATGGAGCATGTCAATAGGAGTTTCTTCTCCTGCCTTTCCTGTACTAAAGTTTAAGAATTTATAAATGCAAAACAAAAGACAACGCTAGCAACTTAGAAAACTTAGGAAAAATTAACAGTGCTATTAATTCATCAAATATTTAGAGACTTACTGCACTGAGATTAGAACAGCCAGTAAATTAGAATATTATTTTGCATATAACTTATTGTTTATATATTTGACTAATTCTAAAGCAACAAGGAATCCTAAACTGAAGCACTTATATTATGCCTATTGTCAAACATTTATTAAAACTTGACAGCATGGGGTAGGACCCTATAGTTTTCCTCCTGAAATATTTCCCTGCAATTGATTTTTCAAAGTAATTTGCTGCATGAGCCAAATAGGCGTAATTACTTTTTGTACTCATTGGTGCCATAATTTGAATTTTAGGGATATAAAAAAATTAGTGGTTAAATGCCAATTTTTTGTCTTACCAAAAGTCACAAGATAACTAAAGATTGCGTTACTAAAAAAAAAAAAAAAAAAATCTAATGTAACCAATCAGAAATGAAACTACTTTTTAAGGAGATACTGTAAAAAAAAAAAAAAAAAAATCTAATGTAACCAATCAGAAATGAAACTACTTTTTAAGGAGATACTGTATCAGAGCAACCCCAGAGTTGTAAATAACATTTGCCACCAACTGATGTTTAGATCAAGGACTGACTCTCAAAAGGGGTTCACATCATATTCAGGGGCGAATCTGACATTATAGAAGAAATACTACTGATAAAATTATTTTTTCATTTTGAACAAATCTGTAAACTATACCTTTGTTTATAGAAAATGCTTGTAATAGTCACTGTAATACCTAACTATGGATAAAAATTTCTGGAAATAAATACTTTTGAATAAAGTGGTGTGCCAAAATCTAAATGGAATTTAAAGCTACAGCTATACCATTGCGTAGAAGGCTTATTTTTAATGCTTTCTTGAGAAACTTCATTCTGGGGCCAATATTCAAACATGCATCATGATCACTTAAGCCAGGGAGTGGGGGGACAACTTGCTAAAACAAGATATATTGAGCAATTACTTTAAAGCTATCAGTAGAACAGAACAGAATGCCCAGAGATAATCTCATGCATCACTTTTGCATATGGTAAAGCATTGAAAAAAAAATATTTAAAAGGTCTGTATACAAACAAATAATTCATTTTTTTTGGACTTGTCCTCAAGTTGATCTATAAACACCAAAATCTCAACACAGTTTTTAGTGAAGCTAATGTCAAAATTTATATGGCAGAAAAAAAGCCCTTCCTTCCTTAAGAAGAGCAGTGGAGGGGGCTGGGAGTAGCTTCTAATAGGTATCAAGACTTCTAAAACTGTGGTTGTGTGGGACTGGCAGAGAGAGAAAAACTGACCAACGGAACAGAATAGAAAGCTTAGATAATGAAACATCTAGACAGAAACATGGGTAAAGTGCTTCTTGCCTAGAAAGCACATGCCAAAGAAGCTAGAAGTCTTTTTAACCAGCCCCACCTCAATGCCTAGAATAGGCCTCTCCAGAAATGGTGCCCCAAAGTGCCCATCATTAGGAACCACTATGGAAATATTTCTTGATACAGAATAATGTTTACAATACACTTGTCAGTGAAAAGTCACTGGGTGACAGATGGAAAAGCCACCTCACTCTTCAGGAAAGCCTTTACTTCACCTCAAAATCAGACAAGTGTAGGCTTGTCTTCAAAGCATCACCAGGAAAACTGCAAAGAGCCACCTGTCATATGAAATACACTTATCAAGTAACAGTTGAGAAAGGAAAAATTGTCAGTCATCGGTCCTGGTCTGACATGGAGGACTACGACTGAGGGTGGTAGAAGGGTCTGATTCTTGCAGCCAGGCTAAGATGTTCCCCTTCCATACACAGCCTGACAAAACACCAACATCAGGCAGTCACTCTGTGACTAATGAAAATGAGGTTAACAGAAGTTCACAGTTCAAGCTAAGCACAAAGATCTCTGTGCCAACCATCAGCAGCTCTCCTGGCTAATCCGGCTAATCCAGCAGCGCCTCCCGCCTCTTTATTAGTTGCAGCAATAGACTAGTTCCAGTTTGCACCCATAGCTAGGATTATATTGAGATATCCAAAGACTTGTCCCTACTTCAAGAGAGCATCCAATCCAGGGTGACCCTGGCTTTTCTGGACCCTCTCCAAGTTGTTTAACCAAAGTTTAGCTCCTAATACCCTCTCATTAAGATGCCTCCCTAAGATATACCCCAGGTGTATAGTCTCCTTTATGGCAGTGAGCATTAAGCCCCATTTGTTCAAATGCAGATGTGTTCCAGGTGGTATGACGGGAATGTGCATAATGTGATTCCCTTCTGCCATATCAGCATTATCACAGCATAAACTTAAACCCAAGGAAGTATGGTAATTTACATAAGGTAGTATTACTAAATGAAACCTCAGGCTTTGTAGGGAGATAGACACTGCAACTAACTTTCAAACAGGTAGAGAAGAAGAAATATACATATACTTCCCCTAAGTTTGTGACAATGCCTAAGGCTACTGAGAGCAAACCAATACTTAGGGGTGAACATAAAATGAGGGAGTTAGCAAAGCAATGAATTACTTTAGGTCAGTATTTCATTTCTG